CAGTTGTAAATACAGTTACCCTAATTATAACCCTAGTTACTAAGTCCCATGATCCTTTAAGTACCAGCCAAACTTACACCTGTGCCAACGTCTCTGCTCTCTGCGGCACGCAACCCCTTTCCAGATTTTCAGGTGCGGCCTGATTGAGAGTTCAGGTGCTCGACTGCCAGACTCAGTGGGAGTTGCGCTGAACCTTTGAAAGCATCGCAGTGGGGGACAAAACGCAGTAGGCATGCACTCACAATACTTGGAGCACCCAATGCAACACTCAGAAGTTTCTCCGTCAAGCCGATCGGGATTCTGTCTCCGGTCAGCACCAAAACGTGCCGTGTCCCTGGGCAGACGTAAAAAGCACTCCTCACAGCCCCCCGAAGCTTCCGCAAACTCGATCTCCCAATCCGTGCCCGAAGAAGCTGTCTCGCTCAGGATGACTCACAAGCAACTGCAGCTAAAGCTTTACTGGCACCACCGAGACAGAAGCGAGGATTTGAGGGTCCGGGCCCTTTCTAATGTGAAAATGACGACGACGATGACGACAACGACAATCATTATGACCGCTCCGAAAATGTAATGCCGCGAGGGGAGTAATTTCCCGCACGCCTGTGCAGCTCCTGGCCAGGCCACACACACACACAACTCCCACCGGGGACAGAAACGACACCATACTAGTATGCTGTAGTTAGTTCCTGGCCGCCTGCAACACGCATAGACAAGAAGCAGCAAGCGCCGCACTGGCTGGTCCGCAGAGAGCCACATGAAGACTCGGGTTTATGCCTGGCTGCGACATTTGCAAAAACGTATTTCACGGCTCTTCTTCGTGCGAGTCCGTGAACAAGTTGCTCGTGTCTTGCGTATGTACATGTATATATATATATATATATTCTGAAATAGAGTTATATGATATAATATACCATAACACAGTATAATATTATGCGCTGTTTAATCCAAGTGGAGAATAGGAGTGCCAGCTTTGAAGCGAACGATTCCAGTGATTGCTTGCCTCCTCAGCCAAGTTGAGACTTATAGGTCTATGCCCCGAACGTGCATTGCTCGTTACATCACACCCCACAGACAAACCGCAGGGGTTCAATTCAGCAAATCTCTGTGTGTATGTGTGCCTTGCTCCAGCATTTGGTCGATGTGTGCCGTCCCATGGCGACACACTTGCATGGACAGTTCCGGCAGCATCCCAATCATCTGAGCATTAGAACGCAGGGCATCAACAACTATGAACTTGTCTTGCTGGCGTGTGAAGCCAGCTGAATCAACACAAATATTATGCGCATCGCGTCGGGTAATTTCACCTGAGACCGTGCCTCATCCGTCTCTTCTGCAACTGGTGGTACTGCATGTACCTGCAGACAAGACAAAGCAAATCTGCCGCAGCTGCAGAAACCAGTTCAAAGAGAATCAGCACTTGCGGTGTGCATGCTGCGAACGTTGCTGTCAAGCTCTGCTGCATCAAATTTGCCGATCAGACTAAGTACGCAGCAGCGACTTATGATGTCAAGGAGCCTTGTCTTTGGAAGCTGACTCTCCGACCTGTCACACGTTGCCAAAGTATGGCTGAAGATGAAGAACATGCATGCGTTCATGTATGTCCAGGCTGTCAACGTCCAGGGAAGTCCTTGAGGACTACATCCAACCTCCACCACACAGAACTCCAATCCCTCACTTTGACCTGTGACGCCGCCTGGCTAGACTTCATATCATTAATCTCAGTCTATGATGCCTCTTCTTCGTCTTCTTGGTGTTTCTTAATTTCATCGGTGAAGCACCGGTGACTTCGTGTTAGTGTACCGCACATTCTGAACTTGCAGAATGTACCGGAGGTACCGCACGACAACACAGGTCATGTGTACAACCCTCAGCAGGCATGACATGTCAGAGGTTCCTGTCGTTCCTGCTTACCACTTCGCTCATTAACTCTCTCCGCGCCTGCTTGGTTTGTTTCCTCCTAGGCCTATGCCGAGCATGCGAACAAGCAGCTTCAAGGATCTTCAGAAACAAGCTTACCACGGTACGAGAAATGCTTGGATCTTCAAGTGCGGTGCTGAAGCCGAAGGCATGCTCATATCAGACACGTGCGAAGCAGAGCATGCTTGCATCCGATTGCATCCTGCTAAACTTGATTTCTTGTCATACAGAACCTGCAGCGAAGTAGTGTGCAAAATTACCATCTTATCCTTCCTTCATCACCAGAACCTACCAAGTCTTTGGGACCCTTGATACGGTAGCACATCGTCGGCCACGAAGAACTGACAGGCTCAAGGAGCCTTTGCTGCAGTCTGCAACCCAGGTGCTACTGCCTGACAGCCACGGTTTAGGGTTTAGGGTTTAGGGCCCTAAGTCCAGGAAATTACGGTTGATGATGTAAATCCTGCATTGCCTTAATGGCCTAAACTATGGGAATTTTGGTATATTCCTTATCATGCGTACTGGCCTCAGCCGAATAGTCATCAGCCGTAGTATATTGCTATATGGGCTGGATGTGCACAGCTTCTAAGCTTGCTGGTTGCCACAACGGTCAGCTCACATTCAGGAACAAAACGAACACGAATCAGGCTGCTTTGCCTCATCCCTTGCTGCTGAGAGCTTGCCGCATGGATTCGCATTGCTTACCTGTGGTTCGTAGGGAATGGAGGAATGGGGTACAATTATAACCACTGCCACTACCACTACCACTACCACTACTACTACTACTACTACTACTACTACTACTACTACTACTACTACTACTACTACTACTACTACCATTCTTCCATTCCCCACTAACCAAAGGTAAGATTGGGCATGGTCCCGGAGAGCTCCCAACATGGTGAAAAGATGCTTGGCAAGCGGAGCCTCGATGCCAATGCCGGGAGGAGCCGATATGCCAGGAGGCAATGACTGGGCGAACATGACGGTTTAGGGTTTAGGGACACTAGGATACCCAGTAACCTAAGAATAAAAAGGCCTCTCTTTTTGGTATTGGGTAACTATATAAGGAACCTAGGACTACAAAAAGGGAATAAGGGTACTACTGGGCATCCTAGGACATAAGAGAAGCACTCTTGCTAGATGCGCTGCTCATCGGACGTCGGGCCAGCGACAAGTGTAGCGCGCAAGTCAAAGAGCAGTGTAATTCTTCGTAGCTGAACAAGGCCCCTGCCACCGGCGACCGGGAGTACGCACCCCAAGCCTTACAAGACACAGCAGTCACGGCAACTGCTCAAAAGCATATCCTGTGGTATGCTTGGCACTCAAAGCCGAACGTGCTGAGACTCCCGCCGCGGCGGCAGCACCGGTTTGAGCACCGGCTTGAGCTCCCGTTGCACCGGTCGCAACTTTCAATTCCAAGGCTGACAGCCTGCCATCAACCCGCGCCCCAGGAATAGAGTGCGTCAAGCTCCGAGTTTGAACATGGAGTGTGGCAGCCCTAAACCCCTAAATCGAATGAAGCATCCAAACCAGCACCTCTCGAACAACGGATCCAATTTCCGCTGCTTCCTGAGGGCCCACAGCACTCATTCACGAGCTGGCCACTGTCAGAGCGGGATGTAAACTGAAACCCGAAGCGCTGAAACCCTAAGCCCCAAAACCTACAAGCCTAAAGCCCCTGAACCCTAAAACCCTAAAGTGGCATCCGAGCTTCTGCTGCTGCTTCAGCCTCGCGTCCAGCTGTCTCAGCTGCAGCTGAATCTGGCATGTCAGCATTGTGTTTCGAGCGAAACTCTACTGCACGCCCTAAACCCTAAACCCTAAACCCTAAACCCTAAACCTTCGTGTTTGTTTGCGGATTCGGGGCTTAGGGTCCAGGAGGTTTCGGATCTAGGGTTACTAAACTTCGGGGCCTACAATCTAACTGTTCTGGTTCCCCAAAACCCTGAATCCCAAACCCGACAGCCTAAACCTTATTCCCTAACCCTAAACCCCGAACATGCAAACAATGCAAAGACAGTATAGTAATCTAAGATATAGTATCATATATAACACCATATTTAATATAATCTCTAGTATGATAATTAATATATATATATATATAGATATATATATATATAGATCTTAAAAAAAAAAAAAGCTCCCGGGCCGGGCCGGGCCGGGCCTCGGAGGTCTTGGTCGAGTTTCCCTGCATCTTTGCGCATCGCTCGCGAAGAGCATCTATGGAATCCTGCGATTCGGGTTTAGGGCGTTTCAATCGGGGGGGGGTTTAGGGTTTAGGGTTTAGGGTTTAGGGGTTCAGGGTTTAGGGGTTTAGGGGTTTAGGGTTTAGGGTATAGGGTATAGGGTTTAGGGTTGGGCCTTGGGGGGTTTAGGGGTTTAGGGTTTAGGGGTTTAGGGCGTTTCAATCGGGGGGGCTTTAGGGGCTTAGGGTTCAGGGGTTTAGGGGTTTAGGGTTTAAGGGTTTCAGGCTCAGGGTTTAGGGGTTTAGGGCTTAGGGGTTTAGAGCTTCAATGCAAAGCTTCGTTGAGAAGCTAGGGCCTAGGGGTTTCAGGCTCCATGGCTTTTTAGGGCTTAAGGTTTATGAAACCCTGGAACGTCAGCTGAAGCAGTTGCGAGTATTTTTAGCGAAGGCCGTCTTGTCGGAGGAGTGCCTTAGGAGTCTTTAAAAACTGGGAACACGAAGTTAGTCGAACATCTACAAGCAAGGCATGCGCGTGGCAAGTCAGCAGCACTCTGCATGATCGTGCCTCTCGCAGTATCAGAATTGGCAGGTGCGGTACGAACATGGCTCTCCGTTTTGTGCCCACACTGACACCAGCATGGCTCCTTGTGATGCTTGATAAGATCCGCATTGTGGTTGTGCGCCAAGATGGTTTGATGCAGCTCCTGCACGAAGCAAATTGCCGAAACAAGGTCAGACATGTGAGGCAGCGTGGTGACGTCAGTCGTCTACCCTGAATATTCCGATGCGCTCCCATGACCCTGACTGACTTCTTCGAATGAGGTGGGCAAACCATCATTAGGAGTGCACCGAGTCGCCCCTTTTGCTACTTGGATCAGTTGCGCATCGGTCGGAGTCACTGGTTCAGCTGGCAAGGAAGACTTCTTCCTGCGGGGTTGGAGGACAAGACACAGGCTGCACCGATGGTCTGACATGCCACAGCCCATTGGCAAGGACGATGAATGACTGTGAAAGCGTTCTTGGTCCGTCAAGGCTAGGGTAGTTCTTGCTGACACTGTTGAACTCGGGATGCGCCCTCCTTGGCTGCAAAGACTCCGGATTCCCGCGCTCGTTTGATCACCACACGGGCAATAGGTGCACATATTGGTTCTCCAGGAGTGCACTGCTCATATGTGACACAATCCAATTCGAACTTCTGAACAGCGGGCCCCTCAGTGCAGTCAGGACACATAAATTCCGAGCTGGTGTTTGCCTGCAGCGACACATCAGCGTTGATTGTGCTGCAACAACATGTGCGGCTCATGCAGCCATTGCTGGATGCAGCTGTGCTTTGAGGTGATGGTATAATCCAGCCTGTGTTTCGGCGGATACATGCTCTTTTGACACTTCTGCTGCCTGTCAATAGTCTCAGGTTGCCAGCAGACTGATCGACACAAGCGTTTTGTGGCTTTTGCATTACTGGTATTGTGTCTTGTGGTTGTAGCCGTTACCTGGTCACGTTTCCGATATTTGCGGTTGCCACCGTCCATTTTTTGCGTCAAACTCATACAGATTGGGAACTGAGGACTCTTACCGGAACCATAAACCCTACAGGCTCCACAATAGGGATCAGCTCCCCTGGAAGGAGGACACCTGGAAGTAAATGTGGGAAGTGACAAACGTCATGTGCATAGTGCTGCATGCACAACCTGTCACCCTTCAACGATCAACATGTGCAAACATGCAGGACATGGGAGTTTCCGAAAATAGGGGACTCGAATGTAGCACCCTAAATATATAGTAGGATCCGTATTGTAAGGACCCCAAAATAAAGGTACCCCGAATTTTTGGAGATTCCCACATCGGAGTAGTCCAGCCTTGGTCACTGCTCCATGGCCAGATGTGAAGCTTGCAGAGAAGAGGTGGCCGACCTTAGGGTTTAGGGTTTGGGGCTTAGGGTTTGGGGTTCAGGGTTTGGGGTTCCGGGTTTAGGGCTTAGGGTTTGGGTTTCAGGGTTTGGGTTTCAGGGTTTAGGAGTTTAGGGCTTAGGGTTTGGGTTTCAGGGTTTAGGGGTTTAGGGCTTTAGGGCTTAGGGTTTGGGGTTCAGGGTTTAGGGGTTTAGGGCTTAGGGGTTTAGGGTTTGGGGTTCCGGGTTTAGGGCTTAGGGTTTGGGTTTCAGGGTTTGGGGTTCCGGGTTTAGGGCTTAGGGTTTGGGGTTCAGGGTTTGGGTTTCAGGGTTTAGGAGTTTAGGGCTTAGGGTTTGGGTTTCAGGGTTTAGGGCTTAGGGTTTGGGGTTCAGGGTTTAGGGGTTTAGGGCTTAGGGTTTGGGGTTCAGGGTTTAGGGGTTTAGGGCTTAGGGGTTTAGGGTTTGGAGTTCCGGGTTTAGGGCTTAGGGTTTGGGGTTCAGGGTTTGGGGTTCAGGGTTTAGGGGTTTAGGGCTTAGGGGTTTAGGGTTTGGCGTTCAAGGTTTGGGTTTAGGAGAAGAGGCGGCCAACCTGAAATTTGGCGGGATCAGAGCGGGCTGATGCGCCCGCATGGAAAGAAGTACTCTACCTCGTGCTTTGTGGATCTGGGCTGCAACATGGGCTGAGAAAACACACACAGACAGGTACATACATATATATATATATATATATATACACATACATACATATATACATATATACATATATACATATATACATATATCTATATATAATAAATATGTAGATGTATATATGTAGACGTATATATTAAGCTTAAGTCAAGAAGCCAGTGTTGTCTCGTTGAACAGTGCTGCCTCAGGCAGGCTCCAGGATGCAGTCAAAGTACACATGTGGGGCCACATGGGAGTTTCCGAAAATAGGGGACCCTATTATAGTACCTTCAATAATAGGATCCTTATTATAAGAACTCCAAGATAAGGTACTCCTAATTTGCGGAAAGTCCCACATATAAACCGAGTGGCACAGGTGTGCCTCTCCTTGGCTGGGAATGTTCAGTGCGAAGTCTGAGCAGCACTGCGACATTTACTCTGCCGCTGCTACTCTGACATCACCAAGTGCAGTGAAAAGTCCCAGCCATGCAGCGCGTTGAAGAAGTGGTAGAGCCGCCTGTGTGCATTTCTACACCATGCGAGCCCCAGGAGTATAATAGACCAAGATTCAACATAACATACCATAATATACTATACAATACTACAATATACTATACAATACTACAATACACTATACCATACAACAATGTGTAAGCTATTATAAGATAACAACTGCTTGATTCACATGTTGCGAGGCCTGCTCAGAGGTTGCGGGACGTGAGAAGCTTCGAACTCAGCATTCGCGTCCTGATGGCTCTTTGGACGAACCTACCCCAATGAGGGTTCCTATGAAGTGCCCTTAGTAGTATAGGGCCCCAAATTGGGGGATCTACTTATAAGGAGTCACTGCCTGCAACTGGACACATGCACGCTCATCGAATCTCCTCCAGCTTCTGCTTGTGCTCCAGAACAAACTCGAAGCGGTCCGGGTTGAACGATTCATTGCCACTGAAGCCTCGGTTCGGCGCTGCACCATCCCAGGGTCAACATCCACAACTTCCACAACGGAAAGACTGACCTGATCTGAAAGCCGCATTCGAGAAACAGAAAGCAGCCTTGGGTGGTCTGGATGCGAAGACATTGTGGGAAATCCACTCGCCCAGTCCTGGCTTGCTCTTGAACGTATGAAAATGCTATCAGGCTCATGGCCAACTCACTGATCACGACGCTTGTCTCAGGTCCTCCCCAAGGGATGTGGCACTGCTCTTTGTTGTCATCGAAACCTGTTCAGTTGGAAGCAGGAAGTGCCGCTGTCTTGTGTTAAATCACTTGCACGAGGTTCATCATGCTGCGGGAGGGGGTCTTGCTGAAGCCGCATCTGGCTGTGCTGGGTTGCCATGTTCTGGCGTCACTTCCAGATGGTGAAAAGACATGCACAAGTCGTTTCTGCACTATTTTAAGGCCTTGAGGTTCGGACCATCAAGGGCTTCCCTGGCATTGTCAAGTCATGAGATTCAGAGCACCTCTTGATTTCATGTATTACGATTCGAACAGCTTTCCAGCTCGAAGAAAAGGCAAACAAACCTTCCTCCGCAACAAGAAAAACCCTTAAAACATGGGCGTTTTTGGGCAAGCTAAAGGGTTTAGTTTTTATTTTTAATCGCCTCTTTTCCTTTCCGCCTTCAAGTTGGTAGGGAATGCTTATCAGGGTTTAGGGTTTAGGCTTTAGGGTTTAAAGACTTGCTATGAGCACCATGTGCTGAAGTTGAAGAAGACATGCATCCCGAATTAGAGCACGTCAGACTTTTTGTTTAGTCCTCCGAACCTAGGCCTTGCAGTCTACACCTGCAAGCAACATCATGAACCGCCGGGAAGCATCTGGAAAGGAATGGCCTACCACTTGCGTGGTACGACTGCCAAGACTCACCGACACCCCATCATCCTCGCATCAACCCCTCCTATAGTTCCGAAGGACCGTCGTCGCTGCAGATGAGTATCACACAGAGTTGCACATGTTGCCAAGCTGCAGCACACTTTCTCCTCCTTCTTCTCGGCAAGGTTGCAATGTCGAGTAACCTTACAGGCCAATAGGTGAGCAAGAGAAACACTCGTTGCGAATCAGTGCTTGCCGCACACTTTGCTTCTCAAAGCAACTGCAGCTTTCTGCGCATCCCAGACCGCTCGATGAAAGTCACTGCCCTTGCGGCCTGCAAAAGGGGAAATCCGCAAACTTCGTGCGAAATCCTGCTGGAATCTCCGAACTTCCAGGCCTCCGAGGAAATTGGAGGAAAATCCTGGGAGCATGGTTTCGGGTTTAGGGGTTAAGGGGTTCGGGTGCATCAACACGACTTTTGCGTTGATGATTTTCTCTCGCTCTGCGTCATGCCGATTGCAATCCTGCTTTTCGCATTCAGATGCAGGCACAGGCTTTATGCACGCGTGCTTTCATACATAACTGCTAGCTGAGGTCGACGGAAGGAAGGTGCACCATTCTTGTTATGCTTCTGCCCTTGGACTTCACAGACATTCGCTTGGCTTAGCCTCGACGTCATCCACACATGCTGGCAAAGATGTACTCAAACATGGCCATGAGTCCGAATGACAAGCGACTGACAAACCAATGCATTGCCTAGCCTAGACGTAAGCTGCAGAATGTGGGCGAGAAGTAAAATTGGACAGAACCATCATCAATGCAGAAAGACTTGGTCGCTCAGGTTCCGGTCAAGAAATGAGAAGACTCGCATGACTTTGGCCAGCTGAGAGGTCACAATGGGCAGCATCAAACTGAGAACTCGCTTTCCACCAAAGCCTTTAAACTTTAGTTGAATATTTTCCTATATTACTAAACTCTTACATCATTTTTCATATTTCCTGAAGAAATGCAGTCATTGTACAAGGCCACCTACGGTATGAGAGAAGGATGCAAGAAGTGGAGACAGTGTTTGATGGTGAGCCTGTATCCTAAAGCCTGGGAACCCGTCCTCGGCACGACTCATGGTCGGGACCATAGCCGTCGCTGTAAGACACCAAATCCAGTAGCCCAACTTTCTCCACCTCGAAAACAAGTGTTGAAAGCTCGCGTGCTTATGGGCGCATCACCGGCCACAAAACAAACAGGTCCCAGGCAATTTCGTCGATGTCTTGCACGGTAAGCCTCAGCATTGAATCGAGAGGCCCTGCTGCCCTGGTACAACCACAACAGCTGCACAGGCCAGAATATACACGTGCGAGGCATCTGTGCGTGAGTGTGCAAGTAGAACGGAATGGCCTTCTTACAGCCTGGGCAGTGCATCACATGCGCCTGCGGCCGAAGTGTGTGCGCACCGAACCTACCTGCAGGGAGCCTCAGGCAGGCATGTAAGCGTCCAAGATGGGTGGCAACTGCCCATGCTGACCCATGTTCACCAGACCCTCGTGGTGCTGTATAGAGTTGTCCAGCACTGCACCAAATCAAACGGGTGTTGCAAGCTTACATCAGCAATGTTCGGGCGGAATACAAACGCAAGCATCATTCCATGTTCTTGATGACTTGCACCTCATTACATAGTGTGCGAGTTCCTTTTCGAACTCACAATATGGTTGGTGAGCTGCAAGCATCGACGGCGCTGGTTTCTTTGGAGTAAAATAGGATTTTCAGAAGATGGGTTGTGCCGGAAACTAGCATGAAACCCTAGCTAAGAAGATCCGTACTATGGGCACCACCCAGATAACGTGCCCTAAGTTTCCAACACTCACAAATTCCTAACCTGCCCATCGTAAGGACTTTTGCTGCCAGACGTCGACAAGAATTGCAACAGGTCTTTCGAGTAGTCTGCGTATCTTGTGTGTTGATAAGGGACTACAAGGGAATAGTGTTACTTTAGAGACGTAGGAACATGCTTTGCCGACTTTACTCCTCTCGTTGTATGCACGACTCGCATCTTCTGGCAAGTCAGTATCGTCCACGTTTGCCAGATAGTGTCAGATCTCCCGCATACTGAAATCTTTTACATTGTATCTGGGTCAGCACTTGGTTCTGTATGGTCCATATGTGGGTCACTACGACAATTTTGTGTGCTGATTCGAGAGGCAGCTGTTGCAAGCATGTTTTGGCGTTCCCTGGATGGAGTCAGCGGGCGAAGGTGTGAGTGTGTTGTCTCTGCCCAAGCTGTGCGGCAGAACGTGCTGTATGGACTGCACTTGCAGACTTCTGTGGGTGGCCAAGCGACATGTCGAAATCAACATAAATGCCGCCATTGTGGTATAGAACCTTGGACATGCAACTGGCAATGTCCTGGACTAGCCGTAGACGGCTGCTGGACCACAACCCAAATGCAACAACTGATACCGTTGTCGACCCATGGTGGAAACAAAAAGGACTGTAGCTTGACCAAGGGGCTGCATATCGAATGAAGTCCGACTTCGCGGCAGGGTATGGCAAATTGAAGTACTCCTCTCCCAACTTTAAGCTATCGAAGTCGATTGAAGTAAATGTGCGCACATGTGACAAAACACGACATCATGGACAACGAATCTCAACCGTACCCGCCCTCCTTCAGCTTCATCCCTGGGCCCTAAACCTTAACTTCAGAAGCGCTCACGAAGTCACTAGGCCCTAGGTGGGGGAGCCCTAGATGCCCGCAGGAGCGAACATGTCAGGGAATAGGATAGGTTTCATAGGGCTTGGGGTTAGTTGGGTCATAGGGTTTAGGGTTGTAGGGACTACTTAATGGACTATCATACCCCTCCCATTCTCTACTAGGATCCCGGCAGTCCTCGGGGATGTCTGGAATGACTTGCCGCACATTGTCATCGGTGATGAGGAACGGGTCGTTGCAGAGATTATGGGAGTGCCGGCGCCATGCTTCTATGACCTTAAGACGAAGAGTTGAGGTCAGGACAAGCTGAAACAACTGCCACGGCAAAGGATGCTCCTCCGCAATCTTACTTAAAGGATCATGGGACTTAGTAACTAGGGTTCTAATTAGGGTAACCATACTTATAACCCCAATTAAGGTACTTATAACCCTACTTACCAAGTCCCATGATCCTCCAAGTATGACATGCCCAAGCACAGTGCACATTGGCATGACGACTAAGCGAACCTAGACTTTTCTCTCGGTCTGGATGACACACCGCCTGGACATGCACAGGGAGTTTGCGCAGTTTAAGTTCAGATGCGCGGCTAATCGCTGAAATAAGGGCTGCTCTGACAACGAGCTCCTCGGATAGCAAGGCGTCTTTCTCAGATCTGCGCCGGCGACAAACGCAATGCAGCCGTGTCTTCAGTCAAAGGTGGCAAAGCTACTGCGTAAGTCATGGTCTAAAATTGTTTAGCCCAGCTGCGGTTTCTCCCATAAAGTGAAAATGTTGCACTTGGCTGGATCCAACCGTGCAATTTCGTCGACGGTATTGCGAAAGTCAGGAGCCTTGGATGATGCGCGCGATGCAGTGAAAAAATGTATATACAGATATATATATATATATATATATATATATATATATACCTACACATATAGGTAGAGGTGGATACATATGTAGATAGGTATGTATGTATAGTAAATCTGTATATACGTATGCATGCATGCATGCATGCACGTATGCATGTATATATGTATGTGTATGTGCATATGTATATGTATGTTTCGGCATACAAGCATACCTGTGCACATAAACAGTAAGTACACCACGCTACCGCAGAATCCACGAGGCCTCCGGCCTCTCTCTCTCACGCCCACCCATCTTGTTTTTTTTTCGTTGAATCCCGTTGATATCACATTCTTCTGGCCTGAAACGGAGCAACATGGAGCAAGGGTCCTCTCTGTGTACTTGGCCAAAGAATTTTCGATCGCAGAACGAGCAACCTCGCCCCAGAACGAGCAATCTCGAGCTGCTGTTTTGACCCAAAGCAAGGAATCAGCAAGCTCACGAGCATAAAATGCGCCCATTATGAGCAGTGTGAAACGATTTTACGTGGCGATGTGCCTTAACACTACGTAGCATGAACAGGGAAAACACATATTTCAAGCCGAAGTGCCTGAGCTTTCAAGCTTCGAACAAGTATCGCGCCCTGCTACAGCGATCGATTACCAAGGATCCTGGATCTGCCCATCCTCTTCTGTAACTTCTTGGTACTTAGTCCGTTTAAGATCTTTCAAGGATATCCTCGATCGTCTACGGCCCACCTGCATGCTGGATTGTGGACACAGTGCTTTCAGGTGGGAGTTTGTGATGCGTGAGAACCGCACGAATCAAACGAATGGCATGTTTTCACAAAGATCTGGAGCAATTCCCGAGAACCACGTCAGCAAGCGTCGTCGCTCATTTAGCCAAGGAACACCAGTGTGGCCTTGTGCGTCGACAGGAATCAGAACTCCCCTATTTCCACGATGCTTGGATCCTTGTTGCACATTCCCAAGATGCAACTGCCCGGCTACGTGATGATGCCGACAAGAAACGCATCAGAGGATGATGACCTTCTCGGGACTCCTCACTCATGCTCCCATGCTTGAAAACCACCGGACATCAAAGAACCATTTGACTGCATGTGCTCTGCAACCTATATGGCGCAGATCTGCCTTACTTCGATGTCCCTATATGGCGCAGATCTGCCTTACCTCGATGTCCCCTTCCGCAACTCACCTCTTCTTCCGCCGGAATGGCATTGGCGACTGTATTAGTTTTGAGATGCTACCCGTTGGGCGTGGAAGGCCGGTGCTCGTTGGTGGGACGAGCTGGAACAGATTCCGTGGTACTAGCCGATGCTCATGGCTGGGAGTTGAACTCTGTTGTGAGCACAACTAGTGACAAGAATACTAAAAAATAAAACTAGTAACAGCAATGAGGGTTTAGGGTTTACTGTAGGGTTAAGAAGCCCCCATGACCTAACTCTAGGATTTGCGGAAAACATATTTTGGAAAAAAATGCAAAAACAATGGGTTCCAACATGCGATCGGACCCCCTCCAAAATGGGTTCCAGGTGTCGGGAAAAAATGGGTCCGAGTCCAAAAATGGGTCCAAAAATGGGCCCAAAAATGGGTCCCCGACCCATTTCCGGACCCATTTTTTCTGCATTTTGCTAGGGTGTTTGCAAAAAGTTCATTTCCGGACCTATTTCCGGGCCCATTTCCGGATCCATTTCCAGACCCATTTCCGGACCCATTGCTTTCGCATTTCCGGACCCATTTCCGGACCCATTGTTTTCGCATTTTGGAACCCATTGTTTTGGCATTTGTTTTGCAATTAAATCATTTCCTAGAAACCAAGGAGTTAGGTCACTAAGGGGCTTCTTAAGTTTAGGGTTCCGCATTTGAGATCAATGAACTCTTTTACAACGGGCCGGATTGCTAGGGCCAGATTGTGGCTGAAACCTGTCAAGCGAGCATTGACCAGCAAAGCCTCTCGCTTCCCTGTGCCTAACAGAACCACGAGGCAGTGCTGATCTTCAGAGACTTCAAACCCTGTCCGCAGATATCGCTCGGAGCGTCTATCGTGTTGTTGGGTGCTTCCAGTACAGGGGCCGCTGCACTAGAGACAAACCGGAAGCGGGTGTAGTGTATGGGGATGAATGCAGCCAGGAATCGTTCCTGAAATCCGTGAAGCCTCTCAGGCGTGATCGCGGTGCACAGAAAAAGAGTTCTTGCTCGCAAAATTGCAAAAATCCTATTTGTAACTAAACCCTAAACCCTCTGCCCTATACCCTATACCCTAAACCCTCTACGAGCTGCCGCACAGTTAGCGGGCCTGTGGCCAGGAGCCAAGAGAGGCCGAAGAGTGCCTCGGCTGGTCAGATTTCCGGGGGCCTGTGGTGCTTATGACATACTATAGTGTAGTATATAGTAATATAAAATGATACTATACAACATACTACAGTGTAATATATAGTGTAATATATGGGAGTGTCCGATAATAGGGCTCCTAATATAGCACCCTAAATAGTAGGATCCTTATGATAAGAACGCCAAATACGGTACCCCTAATTTTCGGAAACTCCCATGCAGTAATATAGAATGCTATGTAGCATTTACATGCCCATGGTTTCGTGCTTCTGTTCATCAAGTCAAGATGCCCATGGCAATCGGAGCCTTGCCATTCACGTGCGCTACCAAGTGAAAGGCAGCTCTAGAGAAACTGCCCTAGAAGTCTACAGTCTTGCAAAGCAAGACATGTTGCACAGACTCTCAGTCAAAGCGGTTCATCGCAAGAGACATAGTATGACCTAGTCTTTGCGAATGAGTACTGAGCCTATGTTGATATGCATTCGCAATCTGACAGAGAGTCTATGCGCGGGCCTGGCTTAGATGTCTGTAAGCCGGAACAGCAATGCAGCACGCAAGCAGCGACAGGCTTTCGGATCCTGCGTGCAGGAATCTTTGTCAACAAGTAGTTCGACGCATGTTGCAAAGGCGTAAGCTTGGCTGCCGCAGTCCTGCTTCAGTGTCCTGTCCAGGTCCCATCCACGACAAGCAGCAAAAACACGGATAGACAATGTGCAAACGCATGCAAGACCGTTGCAAGCCGTTGCTAGTCACAGCGCCTTACCTGTACCGTGCTTGGCCTCGAAACGGTCCGACAACACAAGACAGGAGTGAGAGATACATCAAATGAACAAATGTAGATAACTTGGAGGCAGCAGTCGACAAGTGTATCAATACAACGTGTATATGTGTATGCACGCATAAGCTGTTTCTCCTGTTTGTTATTGTAACTTGAATTCGTACTAGCATCATTTGATTATTGCCATGCGTTGTGTTGTTAAGATTCTCATTACTTTATGTGATACTTCCTTATTCATATTATGACGATACTGTAAACTTTTTGCCCTGTGCTGGCCTGATCTCCTGGCCCCACTGCTGCTCGGTTTTCGAGAGAAGTTGGGCCACTGCCTCGGCTTCAAGTAGAGGTCAAACACACACACACACACACAGACGCATGCATACGTATATACGTACACGCATACATACATTCATATATATATATATATATACATACATACATACATGTAAAATACACATGTACACCCACGCACACCCACACATACACACTCATCTTCTTCGTCAGGGCATGAGGGACTGTTTAGGTCCCATGGCCACCGGGCCTCCCACATTTTCTGGGGCACTGGGGCATAGGAGGGCCGTGAGAACTTTCGTGGATCCCCCGACATATCGTTACAAGTGCTGGTGCTGCCGTGGAGGTATCAACATTGGACACGTGCGCAAACCACGACAGTTCCGTGCCCATCTTATATTAGTCTTATACACGAAATACCGGGCAACACAACCCGAAGAACAGATAAAACCAAAAAACCATGGTCCCTACAAGAGCCCAGGCAACACAAGATAAGATGCATGTCCCCCTACATTGGGGAAAGGATCTCCTGGCGCACACACACACACACAAGCACGCACACTTACTTGCACTCTCTCACTATACATATGTCAGTATACACGCACGGCCTGGACGGCCTGAACAGCATGTAGCTAAAGGTGTATGCATACATCTATATATATATATATATGTATATATATACAAGTAAATCTGTATAGATGTATATGTATATGTATATATATATATATGTATATACATATCGTATCTCGCAGGATCGACGATATATGCACCACATGTAAACTTTCACATTTACACACATGTACCATGTACATGGGTGGCTGTCAAAATTAGGGTCCCTTTTTGGGTCCCTATTATACTACGGCACCTAATATTTAGGATACCCAAAAAAGGGTAACCCTAAACCCTAACCCCCTAAACCCTAACCCCTAAACCCTAACCCCCTAAACCCTAACCCCCTAAACCCCCTAACCCCCTAAACCCTGAACCCTTTGACCACCACCCACGTGGAGGCGGCTCTTCCGATCTGATCCCCAACTTTGCCTCGGCCGAGAGAGCTGGCTCCGACGATTCTGGAGTTTGCAGGCCTCAGAAACACGCGGAAAGGGGCTTTGGGTTTAGAAACCATAAATAAGTAAATATACACACATATATATATATACATATATATATATATATGTGTATTTCTCATGTATATAGTGATATATGGTAGAACGACATATGATTTCATAGAACGTGATGTAATGCCTGAGAAACAGGGTTTGGGGGTCTGGGGCTTAAGATTTTAAAGGATGACAGGGTGTCGGGTTTCGGGGTTCAAGGTTGTAGTGTTGCGGCGTGGATGGTTTTAAGTTTTAAGTCAGAGTTTCAGGATTATCCTTTATAGGACGGTGGCCAAATGCTGAGGGCCCTTGCTGCATTATCATGGAGCAACTAGTCCTGGCTTTGCGCCTTACCGCTGTGCTGGTTTCATAGTTACATCACAGTATAAAATGACATGATATAGCCGATTAACTAAGATGGCATGGAATACAATACCAAACACTGTAAGATAGTAAAAGGAAATGTGGGACATGATACGGCAAATGTAGTAAAACAAAGTATAATAATGCAATGTATATAATGTAACATAGCATAATGTAATATGAACTGATACAACCTGCTATAATACGACAAAGCGTCGCACAAACATCAACATAATATGACGTCTCTGCACCTTCCGAGCCCGTCATAGACTCGCTTTAGTCTCAAGACAATTGCCTTATATTCAGCCCATGAGATAAGAAATCTCAACCCAACGATACCGCACCCTCTCCCTCTCCCCTCTCCCTCAGGGACCTAAGAGCCTGGCCATCCAAGTGTGCCAGAAGCTGATCCAGACGTTCGTCCATCGCCATCATTGTCTGGCCTAAGAAGGCGGTCTGGGCCCCAGCTGTATTGCCATTATGAATACTGGCAATATTACTGTTACTATTACTATTATTGTGATCATCTCTGTTGTTGCTTTTGTTAACGCTTTTATTATTGGTATTAAGGCCCAGCTACTGCCCGCCCGCAGGCAGCTCAAGCTGGGCTTTGCAGCGGTCCCACGCTGAGTTGGCGACGGATCTGCTTTAGTTCCATCTTTACCTGTCGACAAGTCCCACGTTAGGCTTGAGAAAGATGAACTTCCTGGATCTTAATCAACTCGCATGAAAAGGTGCCATGGCAAGATGTGGAAATTATTTGCGCTCCTCAACTGGGAGCCCTTTTGACTTGCCTCTGCACTCTGTGTATCAGCTGCAGAATCACTAGAAGTCCGGTCATTAGAAACATCAGAATCACACCGTTCCAGTTCCATGGGCACTTCGGTTTCCCGAGGCAGTGTGGCGTCAGCCAGAAACCTGCGAACCCGTGAGTGATGTCTCTGAGCTGCCAAGCTCAATGGGGTCACGCCGCTTTCGCTCGCATGATGCGGATTTGCTTTCGCGTTCACCAGTAGTTCCACCAGCTCATGGTCGCCTTCACCAGCCGCAAGGAGAAGCGGGGTCCATCCCTCATCGTCCTGCCTCTCTAAATCTGCCCTTCTTTCAATCAATAGTCTCGCGACGTCAGCGTGGCCAGTGCTTACAGCCAGGAACAGCGGTGACCATCGGTCGTGAGTGCCGGCATCTGGGTGCAGACTACTGTCAAGAAGCCGCCGGACTAGCTCCAGGTGCCCCCGTTGCGCAGCGAAGCTCAAGGCCGTCCAACCGCAGAAGAGGAGCTGTGGATCTGCGTCACTAGAAAGGAGCAGATCTGCAATTCCCAAGTGACCTGCCTCGACCGCGCACATCAAAGCTGTCCTTTCACCATCTCTCCGGGTGTTCACGTCTGCTGCAGATCTCAAGAGGCAGTCTACCACTTCCAGCCGTTGATGCTCGACTGCGACAAAAAGAGCGCTACGACCATCCCGGCTCCTCCTATCGATGCTTGCCCGCTTAGATAGCAAGAACTGCACGACATCTGCATGGCCTGCCATGGACGCAGAATGGAGGGGGGTCTCATCGTGGAGACCGCCCAAATCGATATTCGCGCAAGCATCGTAAAGGACATCCAGGACATGTACATGCCCCGCCTTGGTGTGAGGATCACCAGTTTGCAAGACCGTGTACACATGCGGACTGTCCCAACTAGAAACCTGATCACAAAAGGCCTTGGTGCATTGCCGGGCTGCTGCTGCGGCATGCCATGATGCAGAGCGGCGAAAGCGGTCCACGCTTTCCGGGTCCTGTCCACTACGAATGGCTGGCAGCATCATATCGAGGTCGCCGTTAACAGCAGCCTGGAGCATTAACTTCTGATGCTCGTTGGTTGTCTCTTGCTGCATGACGACGAGGTTCAAGCGCAGAGGCTTCCCTAAGGATGTCCACGAGGAGTCATCTGACACAATGCTGCTATCGCACACCAGCTGCTGGCGAAATGTGGAAATCCCGATCTTGTCCCGGATAAGCTTCTTGATCATGCTGACAACTCCTGCGTGCAGGCGCAAAGTCTCAGCCTACGCCTTGCTGCCCATGCTCTCACAGGCCATGTTGAGCAGGGCTGGCGTCTTTGCACGTGCAGCTTCGCTCCTGCATGTTCTGCAACAGGCCACGGATCCTGTGGGACAGGACTGGCCATGGAAACAAGGGCATCACACATCCGAGCTTCTACCTCCAAGTCAGGTAAGGGCCTTAGTGATTAGACTAGGCGCATGTTATACTATAACTATAGTGAGGACCCCGCCCCCCCACAATGGTATTGGTAGTACTTAGACTTAGGCCCTTGCATTACGGTGCCAAGTTGCTGCAACTTCCAACACCAGGTCGCCAGTCAGCAAACGCACTTGAAGCATGCCATCAGCAGGCTTTGGCTGCGGCATATGACTAAAAACGCCCTCTTTGGGGCTCTTATCAAGTGTCGACTCTTATGGGATCCTTGGTCTTCCATATCTTCGTGTGGAAGCTTGCTCTTAAGCTCATGCCAATGCTAGAGTTCGAGGCAAAGAAGCAGCAAGACAGCTGGGCATGCCGAGACGACGAAGACGCTCAAGTTCAACATCTGGAAGCAACACTTCTCGAACTCGCTCAGAAAAAAGGCACCTTGTTTTCTGTGTCGATGCGGGCATTCTCAATAAGCCGGGCCACCTGCGAAGGAATTTAGACTTCCCCGTGATAGCCATCCATGCCCTCATGCAGGCCGTGCTCATGCAAACAGACAATTTGGAGGTCAGCAGTTTTCCGTTGTTGGCTTTGCGCGCAGCCGATCTGTTTCACGGCTTTTGGAGGCTTAAACCAGAAATCGATGTGGAATGCCGCTCTCTCGCAGCATACCTGACATACCTGGCACAGCAATCCACTTCGCGGCACTTCATGTGATGATGGTGCTTAAAGGATCATGGGACTTAGTAACTAGGGTTATAAGTTAGGGTAACTATACTTATAACTACTTATAACCCCAATTGAGGTACTTATAACCTTACTTACTACGTCCCATGGTCCTCCAAGTGGGCGCACTTCTTGAAAATGCTCGAACTTCGAGCATGTCGGGCTGGTCCAGCATATCCGCGACTGCACAAGATCTCAAACTGATGGTTTCCGAAAATGGGGGACCCTCATAGAGTACTAAGTAGTAGGATCCTTATTCTAAGGAGCCCCAATAAAAGGTACCCCTAATTTCGGAAACTCCCAACGGCTTACAGGAAAGCGGAAGTGTCAAGAAACCAACGAGAATGCTGCAATGTCCCAAAGGATCCCAAGGGCCTTTGGAACCGGCCATAACTCGATCGCTTTCACACCTGGAGACAAGCAGGACCGTGTCGGAAAGTCGGTTTCGGGATCAGGGTTTAGGGCACAGGATGCATCGAGAGCAACGATGGGTTTTCAGCGTCGGTAGGAACACAAAACCCCAAACAGTCAGAAGCTCTGTTCCTGGTGCCATGCACGAAAGTAACTGCAGGACAAGCTGCGGAAAGTCAAAATGACGGCCATGAAAAAGAGACAGACAAGCAATCAGGCAGTGTGAGGCTGACAGCGCAAGCAGGCAATTTGATCTCAAACGAAAGCTGGTCTTGTTCTTTCACAGAAGCTAGCGTTGGGCATCATGTTAAAATGTAAGGTGTAAGGTCTAACCCTATGCGCTTCATCACACAAAGCCCCTCTATTCTTGGCTTACCGACCTTCTGCCATCGGAGACGTCAGCAGGACTCATCCTTGCTCACAGGAAAGCTGACGTCCGCACCGCTGCGTTCGAGAGATAGAGTTTGAAGCAGAACGCTGGCATCACGACACACATGCTCTGCTCGGCGCAGCTTTATTTTGTCTGCCCTCAACCCTCAACTTTGAAAAGGCTTACGGCATGCCGGCATAGGATATGGATATGGACATACATACTTGGAGGATCATGGGAGTTATAACAAGTATAGTTACCCTAACTATAAGCCTAGTTACTAAGTCCCATGATCCTTTAAGTACGCAGCAGCCGAAGTGATCTCCCCCCCTGGTGCAACCACAGCGTCCAGGGAAGCTGCCTCGCAGAGACATGCAAAGACATCACACATAATATACCATACTGCAAGAAACTGCAAGATACTGGAGGATACTTTAAGCTACCATAATATACCGCAATGTGCTATAAGATACGAGAGGATACTTTAATATGTCATAATATATCATGCGAGCTCGTGGTCTGCTTGACTTGGCTTCTTCGGTCGTCCGGCTGGGCCACAAAGTTGTTGAAACCACGGGTTTAGGGTTTAGGGGTTTGGGTTTAGGGTTTAGGGCTCAGGGTTTAGAGGTTTAGGGTTTAGGGCTCATGGCTTACGGGACGTAATTCTGCAAGTGAACCCTACTCCTGCAAACAGCTTCGGAACACCAGCTTTTGCATAATCTACTGAAAGATCCTGACTTAAAGGACCATGGGACTTACTAACTAGGCTTATAGTGAGGGTAACTACACGTATAACCTCAATTAGGTGTTTTATAACCTTACTTACTAAGTCCCATGATCCTCCAGGTACCACAATGGGAGCCATGCAGAGTGTAGAGGTACTTCGCTGTTGCGACTTGGGGTGCATCCGACACTATCCTGGCTGCGCATACTCGTTCGATGTAGTTTCTTCATCATACTGGCAACATATGCCTCGCTTTGGTCATAAGAAATACAGTACCATCACTACTATCACCCTTAGAATTTCCATTGCCGTCATCCTTCCCCGCGCAATTTAGTGCGGCGTTGAAACAGACTGAACATTCCGATGCCCACAGGATGTGTGCGCAGTCGGCTGGGAAAGCACCAACTGGCAAAAAGTAGATTCAGCTTGCTTGTCGCGAACGCGGCGGGATGCGTCGCACTGGCAACACGTTCCCGTCGAAAGACGCTCCTTGCACTCCGGGGAACCTCGACAAGCATGCGCTAGCCCCCAAGACCTAAAACTCTATCAATCAGAAACCCCCAAAACCCATCATCCAAAAATCCCCTCGCCTACAACCCCCCTATCTCATTCCCTAAACCCCTCATCCCCTAAATTCCTAAACCCCTCAACCCCTGCTTGGAGGTTCATGGGTAGTCATAAGCAGGGTTATAAGTAGGGTAACATACTTATAACCCAGAACGGACTTATAACCTCACAAACACGGCCCCTTAACCCCTATAGTACCCTTATAGATCCCTTTAAAGGCCTTTCAAAACCTCTAAACCCCTAAACCCTAAACCCCTCAACTAAACCGTCATACTACCCTTGTAGTACCCTTATAGTACCCCTTCAAGAGCCCTTTCAAAACCTCTAAACCCCACAAAAACCACGGCAAAAGCCCGTTTGCACCTCCCGGGAGCTCCAATCACGGATGGCCTCCTAGCAGATTTTGCGAAGATCTCTAGGGCCCATGCCTCCTAAGGTAGGGCTTTTTAAAAGCGTCTAGAGGGTTCCTTAAAGGGATCTATAGGGCTCCTTAACGGGATCTTTCGGGTTTAGGGTTTAGGGGGCCTTACTGATGAGAATAGTGTTTTGGGGGGCTCCTTATTATGGTTATAGTATAATATCCACCAAGATCTCTGGGGAATGTCTCCTACTGTACTTGGAGGATCATGCGACTTAGTAAGCAGGGTATTAACTGGGGTCATATGTAGTTATAAGTACAGTTACCGTAATTACAACCCTAGATACTAAGTCCCATGATCCTTTAAGGAGGGGCCTTGCTGATTAGAATAGGGTTTTGGGGGTTCCTTATTATAGCTAAAGCATAATATCCACCAAGATCTCTGGGGCATGTCTCCTCGCTCTCTGCTGATACGGGAGTTTCCGAAAATACAGGGAGTAATTACCTTATTTGGGGGTACTTATCCTCAGGATCCTACTCTTTGGGGTACTAGATTAGGGTCCCCAATTCTCGGAAACCCCCAGTAATATGGCATGTTTAGTGCCAAACCCAAGAGTGCCTAAAGCCCAAGCGTCATGTTCCACAAACCCCATGAAGCTCAAGCCTCATGATCCCTGACATCGACCTAAACCCTAAACCCCTGAAGCCTAAACCCTAAACCTGAAACCCCTAAACCCCTAAACCCCTAAACCCTAAACCCCTGAACCCTAAACCCTAAACCTGAAACCCCTAAACCCCTAAACCCCTAAACCCTAAACCCCTGAACCCTAAACCCTAAACCCCTGAACCCTAAACCTGAAACCCTTAAACCCCTAAGCCCTAAACACTGCTAGTAGTCTGTAGAAGGGACCCCGAAGTCTGAAGTTCCTCGTGCAAGACACCCTAAAGACCCCCAAAGCCTAAACTGTAGTTTACGTAAATACTCCGATAATCAGAACAGGGTCTTGGGATATACATATATACTAGACACTAAAAGGTATTAGTAATGACCCTGAGTCTGCAGGGTCCTGCAGCAAGCTTCGGAACGCTGGTAAGCTCAGGGTCGCCGGGCTGCCGCAGCTGGCGAGGCGCTCCGTCACCTGCCCATTTACGGCTAGTGTTTTAAGGTAGGGGTTTAAGGTTTACGGTTCAAGGGTGCACGGCTTTTTGGCACTGTTTGTTTATGGCCACTGTTATTCACAGCATTTCTGTTGCTGGTGCTAGTACTACTACTTCTACTGCTACAACAACAACTACTACTACTACTACTACTACTACTACTACTACTACTACCACTACCACCACCACTACCACCACTACTACTACTACTACTACTACTACTACTACTACTACTACTACTACTACTACTACTACTGCTACTAGGTTCCGCGCCTCCTGGCGCCTGGTAGTTTTGAGTGGTGGAGTGTGTAAACTACTGGGTTTTTGTAGTTTTTCGAAATTGTAGTTAAGCCAACTTCAAACGAGCAAACTGCTTGGGCTTATGTTGATGATGATGAGGATTCTGAGGATGATGATAAGGATGATGATTATGAGGGTGATGATAAGGATGATCAGGTCAACGATGATGTTGAAGATGGCGAGGATGATGGTTATGAAGATGATGATGAATATGGTCAGGTTAATGTTCATGTCACTGCCTTTGGCGATCATGACCAAAACACTGGTATTTACAGCATTTTTTGTGCTCTTTGTACAACATGCTGCACGAGGATGTGGAGCAAGACACGTTGTCACAAGCATCCTACTGCTACTGCTACCGGCGCTACTGCGTTACTGCTTGCGGTCAACCCTGTCGTTATTAGCCCCCCCCCCCCCACCTCACCCCCCTCCCCCCGTCGACACCCTAGCAAAACGCTCAAAAACGCAGAAAAAAAACAGAGGTTACGCCAGGCGCCAGGAGGCGCGGTTGGGTACTACTACTACTACTACTACTACTACTACTACTACTACTCCTACTCCTACTACTCCTACTACTCCTACTACTCCGACTACTCCTACTACTACTACTACTACTACTACTACTACTACTATCCACTACATTTCATTATCATGATCAGAACTAATGTGATGATTGCTTGTAGTACTCTTATTTCAACCGTTATTACCACTGCTATTGTTATTGCTGCTGTAACCACTAGAGGTATCATTATTGTTCTTATTTTTTCATAGTTTTATGTTTCTTATTGTTGCTGCGCTTTTTGTTCTTATTCATATCATTAGTTTTCTTCTTCTGTTTCTATCTATCTATTGATACTCGTATCATCATCATCATCATCAATATCGGGCTTTGGTTTTGGCGAAGGGGGTTTTAAGGTTTCGGGATTCTAGGCTGTAGTGTTGTGGTGTTTGGGGCCTTCGGGTTTCAGGTTCATGTCCCGAAGGTTGAAGAAACTCAAGATGTTCCAGGAGCGCAGGATGTGGAGGGCTTAGGGTTTAGATGGAAACTGCATTGGCAGCTCGTGCATGTTGCAATGCAGTGCTCAAACAAGCTGCGAACAATACTGTAGTTGCAGGAACCTGTGGTGGGGACATGATGACCTACAAACAACCCTAGGTTGCCCTGACTGCAGCGGCCCACCTGAAGTATCCAACGAAGATTACAATCTCCTAACCTGCTTCTACCTAGCATCATCGCTACCAGCACTTTCATCGATCTGGCCCGGAGCCACAAAATGCCAAAAGGCCTCATCTGCAGTGGGGTTCATGTTCAGAAGATGCATGGCATCACCCAGCATTTCTGCCGGGATCGTCGCATGCTGCTGGAAGAAGTCTTCCATAAACTCCTGCAAAACATGCCATGTGCACTATCCCACTGTCTAGGATTGGGGGAATATGAGTGTATATACACATTTATATATATATATATATAGATACAGCGTGTATTGTACACTATATACTATATATGATCAGAGTATTTATTACGCAGGTACGAACCTTTCAAACTGCATAAATGTGGGATGGCTCGACACGGAAAGCAACTCACGCACAGACACGTAGGCAGCAACTCCATGATGGTTTGCTCCATGTTTCATGATACAAATCAGACGATGCCAAACACCTACAAGGCACGTGATCTTGAGGATGAAAGGAGCCGAACGAGTATGTTGGGTGAATGTGCTGCTCAATTGCATCAGTCTCGTGGCATGGTGCAACATAACACTGACATGAAGGATGACGCCCCAAATGGCGGCGTCTTCGTTGACCGGGGACTCCCTTCCATGCCAAGCGCGTGAACCCCTGCATCTATCAGGATTTAACACAGGCATTCAGACTCTCTGCAGGCTTGACCCACAGGATGCGCCCTAAACCACCTTTCCTCCTGCGCTGCTGAGGGCACTGGCTCGGCCAGGGGCGAAGCGCTCCTTAGTTGACGCAAAACATTTCACGGCTACCATAAGGATACGTTCAGAATTCTGCAAGGGTACAAAAAAGGCACTATAAGGGCACTTTAAGGGTACTATACGGGTAAAACAGGGTACTAAAAAGGTACACAAAGGACCCTGTAAGGGTGCAGGTCCCCGCGCTGAAAACTTTGCTCCAGGAGCAACGCCTTCTGTAGGAACGTCCCTGAACTCGCCTCGTCCCGTGAGGAAGCTACAACAAGAGGCTTTCTTAAGAAGGGGGCTCACCCGCCCCACTGCAAACCGTCTGATACATATATATATATATATGTATATACATAGGCATAGGGTATATCGGTATATCTACATACGTGCATAAAAAGCAATGCGACCCCAACCTGCCTCCTGCTCAACGATTCCTACAGAGGGGATACTTGCACATCCTTTGCCACGCCATTGCCAAAGTCTGTGGCCACAGGCCATAAGGCAAAGAAATGTGCATTCCACGGCCATTTCGCCGTGTTGTTTCTGGGCTTATGCTGTAGAAGTGGCGCTTGGGGACGATATCAGCATATCATGCCAATGGTTTACGGCTCGGTCGAACTGCAGAAGGTTGCAGTCAGGCATTACATGCCGTGACAGGGACGATTTACGCCCGACATGTCGTAATCGTAACCCAAAGTTTACATGGCAAGGGTATGGCTTTGTCTTTCCTACTCAGTTACATCTGGTCGCGTTGATCGTACAACACAAGCGAAACACTCATTTTCACGACTCACAGGTTCTTAGTCGTTTAACTTAACTCGATCAACGTTAGTTTTCCGTCAACCTCCAAAATTTCCCCCTAAATCTCCTTGGACTCTGGAACTGGTATTTTGCCGGGCTGCACCGTTTCCTCAGGCGTCTCCTGAGTGATATGAGGCACGCCCTTCAGCATGTGAATGATCGGGTGTGCAACATGAGCCCCTCAGATCAGCTCAACACTTTACGCTACTCCGACTTTCCGTCTCAACTCAGCAACCCAAGATATCTGGCGCTTTCTTTGCCAGGGCATGGGGATGAGTCAGATGTCGTACGATCTCTCTCTCGCTCTCTCGTTCTTGCTTGCTTGCTTGCGAAGCGGTTTAGGGTCCCGGGGGAGCCTTGGCCCGAAGGATTACCCCCCGAGGTTCGCGGCGGTCAGTCCACCCGGCCCCTATTCGGGGGTGGAAAGAAGTAATCCTCCGAGTGTCAGTGTAAACAACCCCCCGAAGGCACACCCCTCCTAAACCATGACCGTGCAAACCTCTGACACTTGCCACTCGGGTCATCCACTCTTTCGGACAAAGCTGGGGTTGGTCTCTCTCTCTCTCTCTTTCTCTTTCTCTTTCTCTCTCTCTTCTTCGACAGGGCTTGAGGAGCTTGTTAGGCCCCCCGGCCTCGTGGGCCCCCCGTTTGTTACGGGGCTTTCGGTAGGGCGTGAGAAAACATGGGTTCCCCTAGGTTTCACAGGATAGTATATTGGACTATGAACGACCTTTGGTTCCCCCATGATTTTTGTCAACACGTGCAACCAACGTCTGATGTGGATAGCGTTTTTGGTTTTGTCTCCGACTACAGTAAAAACTAAAGTTAGCAATCGAATACGACTGTTCCCCACATCTCGTTGGTATCGAACTGGGCCTCCGGAACTGTAGGCACTTTACTTGTGCTCTGGCGTCTCGGATGTCTGGCCCCCCCTCACGTTGCACTCAACTAGCACCAGTCAAAAGAACACGCAGCAAGGTAGCAGAATGTCATAATGAGGGACCTAGACTGGCCTAGTTGCAAGGACTTGCTTCGTGAAACCAAGTGTGGGGCCTTGGAAACATTCTATGGTCATGGTCATTTAAATATGTAACGAAGTTGCATTGGATACTCATGTTGGTGGCAGTGCTCCCATCGTTCAAGAGATCAAAGAAACACAAACAAGAAATTGCACAGTACTGCCCCAATGGGAGGATATCTGACATGATCACGACTTACACAGGGAGGACTTCGAAAGCAAAAATAAACCTTGTAGATACAAACCACGTAAGACATCAGACCTTCCCCCTGTGTATCATGTGGATGCTTCATGCTTGTCATAGAGCTAAGCAACCGGCCTTTGCGAAACAACACAGCATTGCCTCTAGACTAGACTATCAGAACACACTAGGCAATCTCTCTTTCTCTCTCTCTCTCTCTCTCTCTCTCTCGCGCTCTGTCTCTCTCGGGCATGGCGGCCGGTCGAAGCTTCCGGGCATCTCTCTCTCTCTCCCTCTCTTTCTTCAGTGGGGCATCAGGGGCGTGTTAAGCCCCCCGGCCTCATGGCCCCCCATATGCTATGGGGCTTTGAGGGAGTGCGACACCATGGTTACTATCCCCCGAAGGTGTTGTCAGTATACTGGTCTATGAAAGTTTGCAGGGGTATCGACCATGTGTTTTCAGACACGCTACAGTTGCCGGGCAGACGGTATGGCAAAAGGGCAGAATGTAAAGCTAGATACAGATGCCTGAGTCCCCGACAACAAGTTGTTCAGTACTCTGCTGAGGTTCCCGCTGCAGCTTCCCATAAAATCGGAGAGGACAGCAAAAGTGAGTGCCGAGTGAATTGGGAGTCCTCTGGGAAAGGATTCAAGCTATGAACCTTGTGGAAAACGGAAAGTCTTGAAGCTCGGTCGGAAGTTTCGTGTTCCCCGAAAAGAAAGTTAAAGAATTAGGTTGCCGGGCAGCTGCAGGATGGCAGGAGCATGCTGGCTTCTTGGACGAAGTAGACATCTGAGCAAAATTTGCCAATCATTACAAACCCGGCACCGGGACATAAAGACACATAAGAAGCTTTCCCGAGACTGCCAACACAAGTGGTTCCAAATCCTATCACCTGAACCAAATAGCAAGGAAAGTCTGATGGCGCGTTTGGCTGAGTTTGTTCCACCGGGGGGATTTGAACAGTTGGTTTGCCAGTCAACCGCACAGCGGCAGGGCATGCTGCCTCAACATGCTTCAACTTTTGCGGAGTAGACATCTGCTAAGCAGGATTACAAGTCTTGCTAATGGGAACTGCATCCAGACTTTCCCTTCCTTCAGTGCAACTTCGAAATACCTAGAAGCTCACGGTCACTCCGCTGATGGGCACCGGGGATCGGTCGTTCATCCTGCTTGCGGAAGCCCGGCATGCAATTTGCGCCCATCTTCACGACAGATGCGGCATGTTTTCAGTGTGCCACCTCCCAGTCCTCTATCTCCCGTAGTTCAAGGAAAACCGTCTCGCCGTTGCTGTCACTGTCACGAACAGGTAGGCCTCGCCGTCCCCGGCTAGGTGCAGTCCCGGTGTAGCGGAACTTTGTAAAGAGAAAGACCACAGCACACAAAGGTCTGGAGGGGCATGCAGTGTTCCCGCGGAAAGCCGAGCAGGAAGATCTTGCAGTCCTCTCGTAGACGAAGTCAAAGTAGGGTCACGACCGTTTGGTTGGGCTTCTCCGGTACTATGGCTCAAGGTGCCCCCGGTTTCTCTCTAGCTTACGTGCGCAAGTGGTGGGGGGTCCACACCCCCAGGCACAGTCGGGGTGTTTTCCCCACAACCAACCCGCTCGAGAGGCTCGAAGAATTCGAAGGAGACCGCGACGATGAAGGCACCTCGTCCGAATCCTCCCGCCGGTCATCTTTCGCATGCATGCCCCATCTGTGCAATGTGCAAGGCCTCCGAGTCTTCTGGTGTGGGCTCCTCGCGAGCCTGCGAGCAGTTTGGGTGGGACAATGGCACGTGTGTAGAGCTTTTTCCAGAGATGGCTGGACACCGGCACATGCCGGCATTCCCGATGTCTCGAGTGCAAGCATATCACGATGCAGCCGCTCTTGGCCTGCTTCTTTGCCTCTTCCTTCCGCTTCTCCGGCGCCTTCTGCTTCTCCTTCTCCTCTTGCTGCTGCTCTGCTCTTTTTTGGCTGAGCCGTTCGTCCCGGCGCTTGCTGCCGCAAGCACGGCAGAGCCCGGTTTTGGTGTTCGGGTGGCAATAGGCACTGCGCTCGCGGAAGTTGCCACAGTCGACGCTGATGCCCCCCTTGGCTCCATCTGCAGCTTCTTGCGATTGTGACCCCCGAATGCTTGAGCCAAAATGGCTACACTCTCTCTCTCTCTTCTGCTCCCTGGCTTAAGGGGCGAGTTAAACCCCGCAGGCACTGAGGCCCGCCCGCCTTTTACGGGCTATTAGAGGGGAGTGAGGGCTCGACTCTCTCTCTCTCTCGCTTTCTTTCGCCAGGCTGGAGGGCAAGCCCTCACCCAGCGGGCCGCCCCTGTTGTCGGCGTGCACGGTATTACGTGCGAAAGGCTAGAAAACCACCTCGTGCGGACGAGTGTTTCGCCCCGGAGTGCCTCACAAGCAGCACACCAAAGTGACATCCTGATAATCCCATGCTGAGCAGCAGTCATGGGCACTCCATCCGAGGTCGGCTGGCTGTACTAGGTATACACGTTTGGCCCCTCGCCCCGGGTAAAGGTTCAAGCTCACGGTAGTTATATCTTTCAAGTGATCACAGTGGGACCTGGGGCTTTGTTAGGCTAAGCTCCGGATTTCGCCCCTGCCAGGAAGCAACTCTCTCTCTCTCTCTCTCTCTCTCTCTCTCTTTGTATTTCTCTTTTCAGATTGGCATCCTCCAACAAGGCGGATTGGTCCTCCTGCACAGTGTTGCAGTGTTTCGGGCTTCGGGCTAGAGGAAGCTGATTTGCAGTTTTGGGGGCTGTCCAAGGCATTAGTATAGGGGCCTCAATAATTAGAATAGGGTTTTGGGGCCCATTATACTACACTGGTTATAAGGACTCCCCAAATAGCCTGGGTGATTATTTCGGCTCCTGTATGATGAAGGCTGACAGCCTGATTCGCTATGCGTGCGCTCAGGGCACAGGAGGTCTGCCTTGAAGGCCCATGACAACAAACATTCATAGAAGGATGCTTGACACCACATTTCAGAAATCCACATAAGACTCCCTGGCTCTACGACTTCACGTAGCAACTGTCCCATGCAGCCCATGCACTACACATGCGCAGACCCGTGCACTTCTAGGGCATGCCCACGGTGCTGAGAACGGATTGCATCCGAACGAAGCCTGCGAAACCAAAACCCTAAACCCCAAAGCCCTTTCCTCCTCCACCGGCGAGTGCATTTCGTCGCTCATGGGTGAGGCGCTCCTTGGCAATATCAGAAGCAACGCCACTGCTCAGAAGCCCGAGAAGGAAGTTTCATGCCACCTTGTAAATGCACACGGGTACCGGACCGTACTTCGGCCCAATTTGTGTAGCACGGAACTATATCTTCTTTCTGATTCTTGCTTTCTTCGGCAATCTCTTCAATGAGTCCACCGTTCGAAGCACTCTCCCTGAATCGCCTAGGACTCCACAGGCTTTCGCTTGCCAGGTCGCGCCGCCTCCTCGGGTGTTTCCTGAGAGAGAAGCCCTTCAGTTCAACCCTGCCCAAGACTATTATGCTAAATAAATGCCTATACTATTGAAAACCCTGTTCTAGTTATTATAAACCTTATTATTATGTCTCCATCTGTTTCTTCCTTGGGAGGCCTGAGGGGCCAGGAAGTGTCCCCTACTCTGTGATCACACGAGGTGATGGCTCCCTCTCTCCCTCGTTCTTCAGCTCAGCGTCCTCCACCACCGGGCTTTGGCCCTCCTGCGCAGTGGTGTTTCGGCTTCGGGCTAGAGGAAGCTGATTTGCAGCATGTGGGGCTCCTGGCAACATCCGAGAATTACGGAGCCTTTCAAGCTGATGTGCTACCTGTGCATGCCGTGCAGTACGCGTGCATGAAGCAGCAAGTTCAGCTCCGATTCGCGGAGTCAGGGGATCACAATGCGACGGTATCCCATGTTTGCCAATTGTGGTTCTGTTGACCCAGATCGCCGGGAGGATCCAAAAAGTAGATCCCTTAATGGGGGTTCCTATAAAGTACGCTTAGTAGTATACGGCCCCAAATTAGGGGATCTACTTTCTGGATCCTCCCGGGGTGCTGGGGATCGATGATTCGACCAGTTGCAGCCGTCCTTACACAAGGACCCCATGCCCCACCGGGGCCCAAAGTTTTCGGGGTTTCGTTTCGGCCGCCGCTTTTGTTCTTGCCAGAAAAACAGGGCTGCATACAGCTGTATATTCTAGTATATTAGTATAGTATAGTATGTTATAGTATATTATGGTCTGCATCGCTCTTGCATGCAGCTCGATGCTTGTACAACGTCGCACACAAAACTGATTGCATCAGAAAGAAACCTTGACAACGATCGGCATGGCCAATCAAACCCGACTTCACCTGTCCTCCTCCACCGGCGACTGTATTTCTTCGCTCATCCTTGGGAAATCAGAAACAAAGCTTCGGCAATCTCTTCAATGAGTCCACCGTTCGAAGCACTCTCGCTGAATTGCCTAGGACTCCACAGGCTTTCGCTTGCCGGGTCACGCCGCCTCCTCAGGTGTCTCCTGCGAAACGCCACAGGATAGCATATGTAGGTTGATATGCATTCCAGGGATCGTCATTCCATCATAGGAATCATGCTTGAATTGGGGCTATCGCTCCTTTGTCGGCAAAACGAAACTGGTTTACAAAGGGCACCCGTCTCTCTCACTCTCTCCGTCTCCCTCTCTGTCTCTTTTCAGCTCGCCTCCTCCAAGACAGCAGGTTGGCCGTCCTGCGCAGTGTGGAGAGTTTCGGGGTTCCGGCTGCATGAAGCTATTTTGTGCAAGTTTGGGCTCTCGAGCGAGCGACACTGAGTTTCAAAGCTGAGGTGTTTCCTGCACATTTCGCCGACGCAGTTCCGGATGGGTGAGTGAGGGGACAGAAGGACTGTTTCCAAGGCCCATGACAGCGGACCTCAACACAAGGATCTTCGTCGTGACGACTCGGGGAGATCCGCTCAAGGCGGTGCCACTCCAGTAATATAGGGGCCTTAATGATTAGAATGGGGTATGGGGGTAGATTATCCTACCCTAGTTATTACGGCCCCCACATCATTCACAGCTGTGACCTGTAAAGCAAACTCTGTACTGCAGACAAGCAGTTCGATACGTTGCCTCCATTTTGCGGGTTCTTTTCTGCAACTGTCCTTTAATTCAGGGTCTCTATTCGGGCCCCTCCTTCTCTGAAACTCTCACATCGCTGCCACCGCCGGATAAAACTTCCCACACAAGATCCTTGTGTGCCAAACTACATTATAACATATACTACAATGAAGAAAAGTATAATATGATGCAACCTAATCCAATGCAATGTTGAAAGTATAATACGACACAATCTTGCCTCTATCCTCCTTGCGACCTCCTGAGAGTGTTCCGGCCCAGCCTGTTCTTAAGCCCTGAACCCTAAGCTCAGAGTGGTACGTCGCTGAGCTGAAAGGACTATGCTGCCAGTGTCCTCGCCCAAGAGCTCGAGGAAGGCGCCTCTCAACAGGTCCAGCCCAAAACTAGGAGGTGCTTTCAAAGCCTTTGAAAAGTATTAGTAGGTAAGATCCTCTTAAGCCCAATAAGAGGAAATATAATATGTCCCAAAGACCTACCTGGAAAAGGACCCCGAACCAAACCCCGCCCACCCTCTTACATAAGCCTGTACTGTTGTAGGGAGGGTCAGAGATGCTATACTACGTTGTATTGTGGTATGCTAGTTGTAGTATACTTATGTCACATTATGTTGTATTATACTGTGCTGTTGTACTATACCGTAATATACCGCCGTATACTATACCGTGGTGTATTTCTGATTCCCTGGAGAGATCCCAGTCCCACCGTTCGCCCAGGTAAGGTCTCGCACAACAGAAGCCAGTGTTTGTGGTCAGGTCACCCCCGCAAAACCTCTTGGACAAGCCACGATACTTTTGATTATGCTTGATATTGGTATTATCATTAGCATTGCTATTGTTTTTGTTTCTGATCGCGCTACTGTTGCTGTTGGTACTCTTGAGGTTTTATTATCAATACTACTGCGAGTGCTTTTACTTTTGTTTTCTTCCTTATGCCTACTTGCGTTGTTCGTCTTAATAGTAGTGCTGTTAATATGCTTATTCGGAGTAGGTTGTTTGTTGTTGTGATTGTTGTTCTGACAATGGTGATGACGACGACGATGATGATGCTTGCTAATATAGCCTATAAGCCGATCGATCTCCACTGAACGCCAAAGCCTAACCTAACCAAGCAACGCCACTTGGAGGATCATGGGACTTAGTAAGTAAGGTTTTGAGTACCCCTATTTATAAGTATAGTTACCCTAATTATGACCCTAGTTACTAAGTCCCATGATCCTTTGAGTAACCCTAAAACCCCTCTTACAGAACCCTTCTATATCCCTTTTAAGGAGCACTTTAAGGAACCCTAGTTAGGCACTAGGTACTAAGTCCCATGATCCTTTAAGGAGGCCTGACATCAAAGATCGCATGCGCACCATCGATGCCACCCGGCCCATGGCTTCGTCGCTCTGCTTCCGACCTTTGGAGAACTCGAGAGTTTCAGACACTTGGGTGGTTGTCAAAATGAGGGTTTTTTGGGGTCCTTCATATAATACGGCACCAGAAAATTTAGGGTACCTATAAAGGGACCATAATTTTGACAAATACCCAGTTAGGAGGAACCCTAAACATCCCAAAATCATAGGATCCGCTGAAAGGGCTCCTAAGTACTGGAGCCGTGTGTTCTGAACCCCTCGCCCCCCCGCCACAAGATGCAGCTCCCAAGTTTGCATTGCAATATCCCTGCCAAATTCACGCCAAGAAAGTGCACCCACATTCCTAAATTACAATACTTTCTTGCAGTTGTGTGACCCACTTCTTCTAAAGATGGTCCTTCCACAGTCGACGTGAACTCCATGGACATGCGCCGCGTGATGACCGCCTTCATGTGCGCGTTGATGTCCTGGCCATCTTGTGACATCGTAGGGTTTAGGGAAAGTTTAGTGTCTTTGGCAGTCAACGTCACCGACCGCGTGTACTCAGCAGGTAATAGCACCTAATCAACAAACACTCTGTGCCAAAAAGATCCCTGGTTGCTCGCCCAGGGCATCCTGATCGGCGCCATACTCGGCGTCGCCTGACGCATACTGCTTGATGGACCTCGGTTCGGATTCCCTTGTGTCATGGAAGCGACCCACGTCAGGCTGCCAAGTGGCGCTTTGTCCGAATACGTCTTGAGAACGATGCAGCTGTACGGTTGCCTCGGTTCGGCACCAAATTTAGTTTGCTACTACTTGGAGGATCATGGGACTTGGTAAGGTTATAAGCTACAACTACCTTCATTGGGGTTATAGGTATGGTTACGCTGATTTTAACCCGAGTTACTAAGTCCCATGATCCTTTGAGTAACCCTAAGACCCCCCGTATAGAACCCTTATATATCCCTTGTAAGGAGCACTCTAAGGAACCCTAGTTAGGCACTGGGTACTAAGTCCCATGAACCTTTAAGTACTGGTCGAACTCAGCCCTCCATTTCTCGACCAGGATGCATCACGTAGCTTTGCGAACTGATCTTGACCGACGAGGCCTCGTTCTCGCAGATATCATTCGGTGGCGGCAGGTTGGTGTCGATGATTCCTTCCATGGACGGCTCAGATCTATCTGTGATCCCAGAGAACCCAATCTACCTGATATCATAATATCTAAATAAGGGGTATTGGGATCTCTTGGATCTTCTGCATTCGCTACCGACGAGTCGTGCCATCTTGCACTTCATCAGACACCGATCGAGCAAGTGCCAGCGCTTGCAAGCACACCAAGCACTAAGTGTGCGATCAAAGGGCGGTACCATGGCTTGTCAGCCGGCAAATCGCACGATCGAACCTTCCGAACTTCACAATCATTGCTGAAGACTCTCGCTCTGGAATGTGGCCTCGTGGCCGGCATTGAAGGCAACCAAGAGTCCAGCATAGCCCTTTCCCGTGGCCTGAATCGCAAATTTGGTGCTGAGCTTGAAAGAGACTCCGACCGTAGGTGCCGCACGTGATGGTCGTGCAAAACGTAGCAGATGTAGTTGTATGGATCGTCCCAATGTACACGCCACCAAATGTCCTGCCAGTCATTGCATATCTGCCTTAGGCCAAGGCCAAGGAACAGCGCTCGCGCCGACCTTGCCGGTCAAGAACTCCGTCCGGTTAAATATTCCGGAGTATTGCTTCCTGCACAGGAGTCACAGGTTCGACGAAACTCTGCTGTTTGCATCCTTGCAGTCGCGTCCTCAAGTTGATAAGTAGCCGAACGAAGCGGTTCAGCTTGCTGTCCTCTTTGGCTGCATCGCCTCACGCCACGTGCAAGGAGCCGAACGCCCGGCCTGTGGGCTAGGTCCTAAACCCTTAACCCTGAACCCTAAGCCAAGTTAAACCCTCAACCCTGAACCCCGAACTCTGAAACCCTAAACGAAAACTGAACCCTAAACCCTAAACCCCGAACTCTGAACGTCTAAACGAGTCTATGCGAAACCGAGCATCTCCAGGAAAACCAGCAACGGGCGTCTTGGCACCAGCCGTTGTTGCAACCTTTCTGGGATCGCCCATACTCATCTCCATAAAGGATCCTCAGAGCTCAGAGCCATGGTATTCGGTGACTATTGGCCCTTTTCCTTGGTGTTAGTGTCCTCGTAGTAGTATCCTCGTAGTAGTATCCTCGTAGTAGTAGTAGTAGTAGTAGTAGTAGTAGTAGTAGTAGTAGTAGTAGTAGTAGTAGTAGTAGTAGGAGTAGTAGGAGTAGTAGGAGTAGTAGGAGTAGTACGAGTAGTAGGAGGAGGAGGAGTAGGAGGAGGAGGAGGATCCTCGAAGGCGTGGAATGTGCACAGAAATTGAATAGGTCTTGGATGTATTATAAGCATGTTGTAGATGGCAACCCCTAAACACCCTAGTCTAATTGTAACATGAGCATGCAGTACTATCATGTCCCGAAAACGGTATATTTAGAAAACCACTATGGCCGCTTAGATTACATCATTCAGGCGGTTGAAGATTTTAGGCTTTCTCCGAGGATCATTGGAGTTCCGGCACTCATGAAGAGAGCCACCATAAAGTTCCTCATCTGCCTCTGGCGAAGATGCTTGACGTGCCCATCGCCTACAGGCAGACAGTCTTCTTCAGAGGATTTAGGAGTTTCCGAAAGTTGGGGGTACCTTATTCTGGGGTCCTTATAATATGGATCCTACTATTTGGGGTGCTACATTAGGGTCCCCTATTTTTGGAAACTCCCATTTAGGGTTCAGGAGATCAAAGACACATGAAACGGGGAAGCCAGGAAGGGCCTGTGTCACCCTCTGCACCACAGTTCCAGGAGTTATTGTGGTCGTCGCCACTGTTCTCACCATTGCACGTGTTGTGCTTCCCGTTGTAAGACACCAGATCCTGTCCGCAGTGCAAAAAAACACCGCAGGCGTTTTCGCGTCATACAATTTGGGAGCTTCAGAGAGATAGGGGTACAGCAGGTGCCTTGTTCGGGAGTCTTTCCAATACGGCTGCCACCCTTCAGGGTTCTGTACTAGGCCCTTAATTCTCAGAACCCAACATTTCACTCACCGAAAGCCTTCAGAGTGAATCCGTCGTGGGCTGTGATGAAGTTGATCGAGTGGAACGGCTTTCTGCCATTGTGCTTGAAAAGGTCAGAGCTCCCGCAAATCCTGCGAAACCAACACACACACACATGATGCGTAGGGACTTGGCACGTGATATGGTTGATGATATAACTCCTGCATTGCCTTGAGGACCCTAAACTACGGGAATAAAGGTATATTCCTTACTACGGGTAATGAAGGATATATATCATCAACCGTATCTATGCTGCGAGGCCATGCCTCGTCGCGAAGTCCCCTGTTTTCCCCACATCACCTTTGATGAAACATCGGATGGTATCTCGGAAGATACCGTTCCTCGGCCGCTGCTGCTATGGCCCAAAACAGCTCAGTAGTCCATGATTCTGCTCAAAGGCTTTCCAAGGATCCACTCGGCCCATCTCGGAGGCCCACCAGATGGAAATTTACCCACGAGGTAACCTGAGCCCAGGTCTTGATGTCTCTTCATATGGAAGTTTTCGAAAATGGCGGACCCTAATATAGTACCCTTAATGGTAGGATCCTTGTTTTCAAGGATCCCAAAACAAGGTACCCCTAATTCTCGGAAACTCTAAACCCTAAACCCTTTATAGAACCCTTCTAAAATCCCTGTAAGGAGCCCTTAAAGGATCCCTAATTTTTAGGTACCCCAATATACTCTTGAACTCTTCCGAAGGCCCAGTAGCCGTCTGGCCAGGAGCAGTCCCACGCTTCCGCGATGAACTTGGCCCGCCTCAGAACGAGGATACCTTTTGGGGGCCCTGATAATGACCTATACTATTTTGGGGGGGCCTTTAAAAGGGCCCTATAAGGGTACTATGATGTTGGGGGCCTTCATAATTACCTATAGGTTCCTTGGGATCTATAAGGGTAGTAACTATGATATAGGGGCCTTAATAAATACCTATACTATTTTTGGGGGGCCCTTTAAAAGGGCCCTTATAAGGGTTACTGTAAGGTTACTATATACAAGGGTTACTGTAAGGTTACTATAAGGGTACTATGATGTAGGGGGCCTTCATACAAAAGGGGAGGATACTACAGGGGCCCTGATAATTACATATACTATTTTGAGGGATGCTTTAAACGGGCTCTAATAGGGCCCTAATAATTACCTAGACTATCTTGGGGGTTGCTTGGGATCTATAAGGGTACTATGCTATAGGGGCCTTAATGATTACCTATACTATTTCGGGGGGGTTTCGTTTAAAGGGGTCTACAAGGGTTACTACAAGGTTACTATAAGGGCACTATGATGTAGCGGCCTTAAATACCTATACCATTTTGGGGGTTCCTTATCATAAGTATAGTATAATGGGCCCCCAAACCCTCTATATTAGTGCTGGAACATCCGCGCGCAGATTGCAGAAAAGGTCACACCGAAAACAAAACACATGTGGAAGGCATGCAGCAGCTCTGGCAAAGAAACAGCCTGCACTATGCCCTTTGAAATTTAACAGGTGCAGTCAACAAATAAAATGTCAATCACGCATATTCTGTATTTATTTTGATGCTGAGAAACCCTAAACCGAAAACTCCACAACCCAAGCCTCAAACTCTAAAACTCTAAACCCAAAACTCAAAACCCAAAAACTCTAAAACCCTAACATCAAAAACCCAAAACTCACTCTAACACTCTACAAGTAAAACTCTAAACTCCAAAAGACCCCAAAGTTCAGGTTCGGCGCGAGAGCTTGGGCTCCTGGGCCATCTTCCGCATGAGCAGAGGATCCATGGAGACCTCGTTTAGGGGTTCGACGCGGAAGACGGTGATCGACCAAATAAGAGTTTTCTATAGTAAATACTGTCGTATGGCTTCCCGATTATGGGATCCATGGAGACCTGGGCTCCAGTTCTCACGGTTTAGGGGGGAAGGTTTAGGGAGTTTAGGGTTTTGGGAGTTTGGGGTTTAGGGTGGAGCTTCAGGTTTGTGACGGTTTCAGGAGTTTAGGATTAAATTGAGGTTTGAGGGCTGCAACCTGCAGCCGCGGCTGCCGCCCGAGAGTTTAGGGTCTAGGGAGTTTAAGGGTTTAGGGCTTAGTGAGTGTAGGGGTTAGGTTTTACTGAGTTTAAGGTTTAAGGTTCTTGTCCGGGAGTTTACTCACGCTACCTTACTTGGGATAGAATCTCGAAAATACGCGATCCATGGAGACCCTCAGGTCTGAGGGCCTGGGGTTTAGGGAGTGTGGGGTGTGTTTAAAACTTCAGGTTTAGGGTTTGCCGGAGTTTAGCATGTTTTTCTAGTTTAAGCTTTAGTGGTTTAGGGACTGTAGGGTTCTTATATAGGGTTCCGGGTTGAGAAAGTTCAGTTGGGTTTAGGGGTTTAGGGCCCAGGGGTTCTACAAGGGTCATCTACGGTGGAAAAATAGGTTTTCCGCTTTATCGGGATCCATGAAGCCGTTCCTTAGTCGAGTTCTTCTTGGAGGGGCAGGGGCCTTAGTAAGTAGGTTATAAGTACCCTACATAACCTATTTAGTAAGTCCCCTGCCCCTCCAAGTTGGAATTTCCGAAAAAAGGGGACCGTTAGATAGTACCCTGACTGGCAGGATCCTTTTATTATAAGGGCCCCAAAATAAGGTACCCCTAATTTTCGGAAACTCCCAAGTGGCTTCAGGAATCTAATGAAAAGTTACCTTAGCCCCCCGCTTGGGCCGGCCTTGCCGTCTCCTCCGCGGGTGAGCGCGGAAGCCAGGTCGAAACGGAAACCGTCCACGTGCATTTCCTCCACCCAGTAGCCTCAGAGATTTAAGGTTTAGGGGTGTCGCGAATAAATGAAAATATTAAAAAACACACAATATATACATACATCTATATATATATGTATATAGATAGATACATAGATAGACAGGTACGTCATATGTGCAGGAACTCAGTTGCTCATAAAACAGGATGCAAGGAGCACTGGTATTGGCACAAAAATGGCCAGCGCCGCTTTACGCCCTCCAAGGCTTCAGATTCTTGGGGCATCACTTGAAGGTTTTTTGTAGGCTTTTCCCCCTTTGATCTTGTTTTTTGCAAGCTTCTACCGCTCGGACCTGTTACTGGAGTGCTAAATTTTCAGCTCAAGGGTTGTTGTTTAGGATTTGCAGGGCTTAGGGTTTAATTCATCATTGGTGCGGGGATGTGCGCGGGTAGTTGATGAGTTGCACGGTTTGCTCGTCATTCAAGTTGCTCGGCACTTGCAAACCAAACTCGATTCTGCCAGCTACCCACGACAAAACTGTAGAACAAGCCTTCGAGGGTCCAGTTTCTAACAAAGGCCGGGAATGTTGCAGGGGTCGACTTTGATTATAACTTCTGCATTGTACGCATCATGTGCATGCTCGGGCAACGTCCGCTCTTCCAGGAATGCTGACGAATGTATCTCGAAGCAACACATACCGAGTGGCAAAGACAGTCTACAATCCACTCGCAGGTCATTGGGTCATTGGCGCTGACAGTGTTTCCGCAACCTGCAAAGATCAAAAGAGCAAGCTTCACAACATACAACTTACTCCGACGGCACGACGCACCTGTGTAGTTGGTGTCGTGACCGCGGTTAAGGATGTAGTAGCGCTCCTTGGCAATAGCAGCCCAGCTGTGCCAATGGTGCTCGCCCCATGCACCTCCAACCACCGCATGATTCGACTTGGACGGATGGAGAGACGCTGAATGCAACAACAAACCATCCACGAGATCATAGGGAGGTGAAACAACCATTGAGAATACTCTTCCTTCAGGCTCCCTATATGAATACAAGTACTGAGAACCCTAATAATAGTACTAGTCTAATATCCCCCAAACCCTTTTTAAGTATAAAGGCCTATAAAGGAGGTATAACAATACTACTCTAACATCCCCCGAAACCCTGTTCCAAGTATAAAGACTTATAAAGGAGGTATAATGATACTACTCTACTTGGAGGATCATGGGACTTAGTAAGTAAGGTTATAAAGTACCTTAAATGGGGCTATAAGTATACTTAGCCTAGTTATAACCCTAGTTACTAAGTCCCATGATCCTCTAAGTAATATCCGCCCCAAAACCCTTAGAGGAGGTGATGCTGTGGAACTCGCCACAGCGAAGCCCTGGCCCTCGGCGGTATTTAGTTTCAGTTACCATAATAAGGAAACCGTATTACCCCATTATTGACACGGTTTAGGGTTTAGGGTTAATATGGGTTAATTATAGATCCCTATCATGGTAGCTTACATCAAACTCCCTAACAACTAAGAACCCAGGTTCGGCCCTGGCCTTCGGCGGTGTGATTGAAGACCACGTCGAGAATCACTTCGATGCCCACGCGGTGCAGCTCTCCTCGGCCCGATTTGTTGAAGCTCCGAGGGCCTTGATGGGGCTTTGAAGGGTGAGGGGGGGGGGGGGGTTAGGGTTGCAGGTTGGGGGCGAGGGGGCGTGGGGGGTTGTGGTGTAGGGTTTTAGGGTTTAGGGCCAAGGCTTTACGGTTGTATCCGCAGTGTTCTGGGTTCGGATGCGAGCCATTGTTGTGCCAAGCTTCTCACCATTGTCTTAAAGCCGACGATTGCGGCGCCAATCCGATCTCCTCGGATGACAAGTGAAGCTTGCGTACGACCGGACAAAGGCTCAGCGCATTTTTTTGCTCCTGGCATTACAGTCGCTTTGCTACGGAAGACTGGACTCGCAACTTGACTCTCGGCAATATCAAGCGTGTCCAAGCATCTGGAGGAGAATCGCTGCATCGGAACGTAGAAGTTGACCTTAACAAGCGGAGCTTCTTTCTTTGCCCAGTGCGTCACGCTCAGACAGATGCGCACAGTCGCGCCAAACTTCCAGAGTTTCCAGCACAATGCTGAGTGGCTGTGGAGTAGCCCCAAAAGTGGCAAAGCTGCTCGCCGTTGTGTGGATTCTTCCTCGCCAGGCCCAGGGTGCGACAGAGTTGCAGAGGGCTTTAGGTTCCTGCAAGGGTCCCGTCATTCTAGGGGTTGAGTTGAGGGTTCACTTTAAGGATGCCAAGAAGGGCTTCTGTCGTTGGTGCGTGTTGCAAGGAAGGTTAGTTCAATAGACCTGGGCTCAGGCCACTTCGTGGTTCGGGATCAGTTGGGCTCCCCTAGCGTCCTCGGGCAGGCAGTCTCATCGAACTCGTAGACTGGCAGCAGCCTCAAGAGATCTGAAGACTTCGCGACTCTTGGAAAGGATAGATGTAGGGCTTTCGTGGGGTGGGCTAATCCTGGCTAGCCTGCGCTATGCACGAGTTGCGAGCTTAATAATTGGCACGAATAGGCTTTTAAAGCCCACTATACTAAAATCATAATAAGGAATCCAGGAACCCCCAAAATGCCCCCCAAAATAGTATAGGTAGTGATTAAGGCCCCTATAGTACTGTTGCCCCATTTCACCAGCTCAGGATGGAGCTCCACTGCGTTGATTCCGAGCTTTAGCAAGTGGGGGATCTTCTGAATGAAGCCTGCGCAGCTCTCTCACACACATAACACATACACTCCTAGAGACACACACAAACAGAGAGAGAGAGAGGTACATATATATATATATATATGTATATATGTACACGCACTGAGAATCCCAATCCTGCCTAGGAATGTACCTGCTGTAGCGTCCCAATCCTGCAGCTTGCTGTCCGGGTTCCTTGGTGTTGGCTTGAAGCAAGACAGAAACTTCGGGGCTAGCGCTTTCGGGATTGGAGAGACCAGAAACTCCACTATAGTGATCTATCCAAGGGGACAAGGAGGGACCCTTAATGGGGACCCCTACCCTCTAATGGGCTATATAATGGGCATATCATAGCTATGTTAAGGGTCCTTCCTTTTACCCTTGGAATCTAGGAATCTAAGCTGCATCATGTCCAGGCCAAGGGTCCGGGTGAATCCTCGCACATGAGTCTCATAGATCACAAGATCTTTCAAGTGATGGCCGGGTGGCTTCACTCCTGCCAGAACATGGCGAGTCTTCTCGTAGGGGCAACTCTGAATTCTTTTATTTTACGGTTTTGGGGTTTTGAAAGCCCTTGCGGAATGAAGATCCTGACCTTGCCAGTCGAAGTCATAGAGAGCTCGACGGTCTGGTATCACAGCCATGGGCGAGTACTTTCCACCTGGCTCTTCACGTTTTAGGGTTTGGGTTTAGGGGTTTAGGGGTTTAGGGCTAAACGATACAAAACGACAACTGCCTTTGCAGAGACCGGAATTGACGTTGTGTGTGGCTCATTGCGACTGCGATGAAGCGGCCGAGGTTTTCTACAGTGCCAAGTAAAAACACTCTTGACCTGCAGCCGGACGCAAACACCACACAGCACAGCAAAGAACTGTAAACTACGTGCTTTTATGTCCGATCATCCAAGCTATGTTGTGTTCCCACCGACTTGTGGAAGTCTTGGAAGCACAAGCCGCAAAACCAAGAGCATCGGTGCTGTTCAAGATCGGGATTTCCCAAAGCGGAGTTGTTTTACGTTTGGCGAAGGGGCTGGAGCCAGGAACAGTTCAGGAAAGGTGGAGACGAACGGTAAGTCTCTTGTGTAACTTTGTGGAACCTATGCGAGAGAGTTGTCCAAAAGAAGGCATGCATGTGGTTGCAGAATCAATCGAAACGTCCAGAGCGTTCACAAATCTATTGCAGAAGGATGGGAAACCAGATTCTCAGCAGTCCACATCCTCAGAAGCAGTTAGAGCCTCGAAATACTGAAAGCCGGGGTCCCCCGCACTCTGACTCTTCAAAACACCCGGCAGGTGCCACCGTCTCTTCTGTTCCAGTCTTTCGCGAAGCGCGAGTCCAAGCACTTGGCACAAGGATCCAGGATCCTGGTGCCTCCCTCAGTCACGTGTCTCAAACAAACCATTCTTGAAAAGGGAGCCTGTGGGGGCTACTATGGGCATAGTCTAGTAGCCTTAACGATTAAAAGGGTTTAGGGCTTACTAAGCAAGTAAGCGACTCTCGCAAATTCTCTCACGTACGCATTCCAAACTGTGGCCGCGACCTGTGGCCTGCCATCCTTGGGATCCAGGATCCACCTGGCACTTCTGCACTCGGGCTTCCTATGAGGACCCTTGTTGTTCTTAGTATCAATATTCTTGGTGCTCTTAGTACCAGTAGTATGTTACATAGTATTACTTTTTTCTTCGTATGATGAGTACAGTAGCATGAATTCTATTATTAGTAGACCCGACATTCAGGACTCGAGTATGTTTCCACTACACTCCCTCTGCGCAGCACGTCTTTTGTCTCGACCGCGCAGGCTGGAGAAGGACCCGCATGTGCCAAGAGATCCAGGACGTCCTGACACGAACAAATCTCTGGGGCCGTAAAAACCAGACTAGAACAGGGTTTTGGTGGGTGTCATTCTTTATGGTTCAACTCTATCAAGGAATCCCAAAGAATACAATTTGGAATTATTTCGGCCCTGAAATGCGTCACACCCGCGAGTTCAAGCTCATGCCGCAAGATTGAAGTGCCAGTGCTTGATGTGGGTGTGCCAAGCAAAGCTCAAATTTCGGCACACTTTCATCCATATGTTCCCTAAACCCCGAAGCCGTATGCATACTGCTCAATCGCTACTCCTTCTGCTTGGTTCGATCGGCCGCAGTGAGCCCGGCAGAATCTCGTGCCTGCTCATTAGAAGCGGTTTAGGGTTGTGTAAACATGTGAGGAAGAAGTCCCGCGCGTGCTTTCGGTCTAGTGTTTTGGGGGTATCGGTTCACGGTTTCGGGCTTAATCCAGGCGGCTTAGTGCTTTCGGGGGTGTAGTGTTCAGGGATTCAGGGCCGGGGCATACTACATTACACTCTACTCAACTTGGGAGCTTCCATAGGGGACCCTAATCTACTACCCTAGATAGTAGGATCCTTGTTACAAAGACCCCCCCCCCAAAAAAAAAAAAAAGTACCACCGAATTCTCGGAAACTCCCACTTTACCATACTCTACTCGGGATCTGGGGATGCTCTCCAGCCAGCCTCCGGATCTGCACGAGCAGCGAGCAGTGCTGTCACAACCGGGGCCTTGGTGATGAACCCAAAAACCTACTATAGCGGCCATAATGATGGGAATAGTTTTGTCTCTTGAGGCGGGTCGGGTATATTTTACCACATTTATAATAAGGAACCCTCAGAATAGTCTAGGTAACTACTGATTATTAAGGCCCCTACATTAAGCCTCTCGGAGGGTCTTTTGGGGTTTAGGCAGCACAGTTTGGGGGTTCGGGTTTACGGCATTTAAGGGTGTTTGGGGGTTAGGGGAACGACACAATGCAACCTACCGATTTCTTGAAGATTTTGCAGGCAAATCTCGATAGTGCCAAGCTATGGACTGTCGTCCACACCAAGGTCTACTACAAACAAGCCGCGGGTTAGGTTACAGTGCAGCTTTCTCAGAATATTTGCTGTATACTCGAGAATATATGGTGACATAATCTAGTACTGTATACTATGTCATCTTATGCGTGGTAGCATAAAGATGTATTCTGCTATCTACAAAGAAGTGTACCAGGTGCGATGCCAGCACAACGACCTGCGAAGCCGATGGGTCTCGTGCAGTGAGGCTCCGACCCCTCCGCGCCGCGTTGAGGCCAAGTGCAAAGGAGTCGAGGCATCGACGTCTCCTGGGTCATTGTTCTTGTCGCTGTTTTCTTTGAGGTGTTTGACAGCGTTGGGACAAGCCCTGACGCGTCCCAGGTGTAGGTGTAGGGTAGCGTGCAACAACAATGAAACCCACGCAAAGTAGACCTCTGAGGTGATCCATCTTGGAGCAACAGGCAAGCAAGCCACTGGCATTCAGATCTGAGCGGGCCAGCAGCAGCCCGCGAACCACGTTAGCATTGCGCGCGAAGTGCAGGGGAGTGCGACCATCCGCATCACCTCGTGCGACTGATCGGAGATGTATGCAATATGATTTGGGGCTGGCTCTCTCAGTGTGTGTGTGTGTGTGTGTCTGCGTGTGTGCGCTTCAGTCTCTTCAAGCACTTCGGTAAACACTGCTGAGCCAAGCAACGCACGTCGCTTGCTGCTCCGTGTTGAAGCAAAGTGAGGCTTTGCTGGTGATTACAGCGCGCTGCATGGTGAAGAGCCGTCGCACCGAATTCCTGAGTTTGACGAAGGACGGAATCGGCAATGTAGACCATGACATAGTATGATATACCATAGAGTATTAAGCCACATTGCCGGGCAAGGTTTCGGCGTCAACACATTACGGCCAAACCCTGTACCTGCAAAAAACTGATTCTGTTTTTTATATGCTCCAGGGTGCATCTCGCTCATGCAGATTTCCATGTTCCAGCTGGGACAGGAGAAACTCATCATCCATGCATCGAACTGCAGCAGCCAGCCTTGGATTCACTCTGACCCTTCTGATCTGGGCGGGCCTTCTATAACTGTACTATGCCCCTAAACCCTAAACACTTAACCCTAAACTGTCACAATCTACTGCAATACTCTTGATCTTCATTTCTCGAGCCTTTTTTGTTCGCACTCCAGGGTCTAGAGATCACCATAAAACCTCGGCACTCTGGCAAATCTGTCGAAGACAATTTTGCAGCTTTGGGTGTTTTGAAATATACACCTAAACCCCGCAACCTCGAACCCCTGAATCGAAACCCCAAACCCGAAACCCTCAACCGGAAACTGCACGCCAAGAGTCAGTGCACCGGGACAGCAGCCGGGCCGCATCGAGGGATCAGCTCGCAACTGGCGGAACGACAAGAACTAAAGCGGACAATCATATACTGCAATAAACAACATTTTTCAATATCCAGTGAACTGTAATAACATACTCCAATGAACTAATACGCCATGTATCACATGCTAGAATCTGCTATAATCTACTGGGCTCTACTACAACACATCTACTAAATTCTAGTAGAACTTCTTACCATGTAGAATGGTATATTTATCGTGGTTGAAGGGCTACGGGTTTTGTGCCCTCTCACGATATAATTATGAGAGCAAGGGAGTCTTTGGCTAGATCCGGTTTGATTTTGGTATTTTCCAGGGGTGCATGAAGCCAACATCTTTTCACTCCCGTAGCAACATAGTATACTGTAGTCTTCTTCTCTCACGGAGCGGCGCGTGGCCTCCAAAAGCAGAGCCAAGCTTTGATTGTCCGCTGCCATGTTGAGGGGTGTGTCTCCGTGCTGATCCACAGCCTGGAGTACAGGTAAAGCATCGACATACAACCCTGCAGCCAGCCCGTCGATCGTTCGAAATTTCTGCAGGCGAAGACTGCCAATGGAAGTGCACTGGCATGCTGGGTTCGGCAGTGCGTATGCTCTAGGCGTCCAGCCACCCGCAACATATCTGCAACGAAGACATGTCAAATCAACCCCAGGTCTCTTTCTCTCACAAGGCTTGAGGGCACGCCCCCGCCCGGAGGGCTGCCCCTTGTTGGCGGCACGCACGGTATTACGTGCTCTGGGCTACGGTTACAGGTCTCTCTCTCTCTCTCTCTCTCACACTATACCTATCTACTATCTATCTACCTATCTATCTATCTATCTATCTATAGCTATGTGTGTATGTAGATATGTATGTACGTATGTATGTATGCATGGATCTATGCACGTATACCTGGATACCCGTATACTTTAGTATATATATATATATACATACATGTGTGCGCATCTATATCTGCATGGTTACCTACAAGTGTGTAACAAAACAACCAACAGCGCACGGAAGTAAATTCATACAAGGCTCATTCAGGAGCTGCGGCTGCCTGGCATAGTCATCACCTTGTCTGAAGGATGAGTTTTGTGCTTACAACTTCTTGCTCAACCTACAACCTTCCCAGAAGAATCACAGCACCGGACGTCGCGCGGAGAGCAGTGCCGCCAGTGCAGCCGGGGCAGCAGCTGCAGCCGCGTGATGCAACAGCGAAGAGCCGCTTGAGTCTGTCCTCGGCTATCTTTTATATACGGTCATATAGTATAATTAACATGCTATGATCCAAAAACATACAAAAATATTCTATGATATACGATAATACCGAAAAAGTAATCATCGTTTCGACTGGGTGCAATGAAAGATCGCCGAGCGCTTTGGCGAAGGATGAGCCTGGCAAAGCTGTCGGCGGAGCACCGCGGCGATGCAACTCCTCAGTGCCGCCGCGTCAAGAAACATAAAAAGCCAAGCGGACCAGGGCAATATGCTATGATATCATGTACTATAATAGAGTATATTATTCTATGATAGAGTAAAATAATGAAAAAAGACCAGGGCAATATGTGGCAACTCTCAGCACCCAGTCAGTGAGACCAGCATTTTATGGTGAATGGACTACATTGACTATGGGGTGTTCTGGACTGCGGCATGCAACATAGCAACTCTGGGCAACTTTCAGATGGCAAGATGTCTGGAAGTCCAGGCATGTCGTTCTACCTGGCGTCTTAGAGGCTCTCAAACCTAAAACGGATGGCATCGCCGTGAAGCCACGAGCATGGAACGGATCGAACGACGTTCAGCTGACCACTTGCAAGTCCAATTTGCTGACGCCCTTCCCCGACCGTCTTATCGAGCCGTGGCGCATGCTGAGCATGAAACTCTCTCCTCGCAGAGCAGAAGAACTCCCATGGTGCCATGAAGCAAAACCAAGCGCAAGCTTCTGGCTGCATCCGTCTGCCACAACTTCGGCAACGTAGATTCAGCTTTTTTCAATGGTGCATGCCGCACGCATCCGCCTAAAGACATCGCAAACATCCCGCTCCAGCCACAGCGCGTCGCCGATGGCGGTGCATGCGCGGAGTCCTGCCGAACGGGCTAGTGATGGCGGTGATGGGTGCTCTTGCATCACGAGCTCTACGTTGCTCGACGAAACTGCGCTGTACATCACTTCTCCTGAAGGTCTGCCGGGCCGTCAAGCCAGGAGCGTAGCCAGGACTCCGGCGAAGCACCCGACTGTCGAGCAAAGTTCATGTGCTTGCCACAGAAAGACAGAGAGAGAGAGAGAGAGAGAGAGAGAGAAGGCTGGGGAGGGAAGGCAGGAAGGGAGGGAGTGTAGAGCGAGGTGCAGCGGGCCGGGTCCTGTTCAGAAGCCACCTGCAGAATAAGGTAAAAGCCAGAAAGTTGGAATATGATTATCCTAACCCTTCTATGGTAAATTATAGGGTATCCTACCATGAAACCATATTCCAACTTTCTGGAGTTTCCTATAACTCCTTCTATCGGCCTTCTCCATGGAGGCTTGGAGACGCTTCGATGCCGAGCTGCGGGACCCTGCAGACGGAAGGTGCCGGTTGTGGATCATGGCACTTAGTAAGTAAGGCTATAAGTACCCTAATTGGGGTTATAAGCAGTTTTAGGTATAGTTACCTTATTTGATGCCAGTTACGAGACAGCATGAGCGTGAATTCCAGAAGAAGGAATACAACCTTATGACACTTGCCGTTGCTGACTCGAGCTGTCCCTGCAGCTGCCTGCGGGCAAAGGAAACGGCGGCGCTTCGCCAGTGATGTTCATGTCCACCAGCCATGGCATCTGCCCTTGAAAGGCAGGAGGACGTGGCGCGACCATGTAGGCATTCATAGTCACATCTCCTCAAGGAAGCTCGCGAATTGGGGGTTTCCGACAGTACAGTAGGGACCCGAATATAGTACCCAAAATAGTAGGATCCTTATTATAAGGACCCCCCCTTTTTTGGGAAGCTCGCGAATGCTTCTTCGTTTAGGACGCACAGAATGTTAGACGGGCACGGCATGAAACCTAGACAGCCTAATCTTCTGTAGACGATCATATACTACAAGAAATGTACTATAAATTACTATAGCTACTATAATATACTATAGGTTATAATGACTACTATGATATACCATAAAGGAGGATAATTAATATAATCTACTATATCATGCTACATTTTAGCAGTGCCCTGAGGCCTCAAGTCTTTGCAACTTTTCCCCAAGCTGCGGGACCAACTGAAGGGCAAGGAGATCGCACCCAAAGGCCATAAGCCACGGGTGCAGCCTGTTGGGTTAAGGTTTTCGCAACTTACTGAATTCTTGTTAAGGAATATGGGAGTTTCCGAAATTAGGGGTACCTTATTTTGGGGTCCCTATAATAAGGATCCTACTATTTAGGGCACTATATTAGGGTCCCCTATTTTCGAAAACTCCTATATAGGGATCTATAGTAAATTATGTGCTTTCTAGGTCATCAGGGTGTGTCGGACTCTCTGCGCCTGGACGAGCCTTACAGTAATCCTTACGGAGCCTTTGAAAGAATCCTTAAACGAACCCTACTTGGAGGATCATGGGACTTAGTAAGTAAGGTTATAAGTACCTCAATTGGGATTATAAGTATAGTTACCCTAAGTAAAACCCTAGTTACTAAGTCCCATGATCCTTCAAGTAACCCTAAGACCCCTCTTATAGAACCCTTTAGATCCCTTTAAAGGAGCCCTTTAAGGAGCCCTAGTTCTAAGTCCCATGATCCTTTAAGTACTCTAATTATGAGGGTCCCCATGTGGGAGTTTCCGAAAATAGGGGACCCCAATATAGTACCCTAAATGGTAGGATCCTTATTATAAGGACCCCAAAATAGGGTACCCCTAATTTTGGAAGTAAAACCCTCGGCCCCTCAACCCCAAGCCCCAAAACTCTAGGCCCCGAAATCCTCAATCCCTAAAGGAACCGTATACTCTAATTATGAGGGTCCCCATGTGGGAGTTTCCGAAAACAGGGGTACCTTACTTTGGGGGTCCTTATAATAAGGATCCTACTATTTAGGGTCCCCTATTTTCGGAAACTCCCATGTTGCCTGGAAGACGACGCACGGTGAGCACCAGGGTGCCGGGCTGCAGCCGCTGAAACGCGGCTCTCAGATCGAAAAGGAGCTTCGCAGGGAATGCCTCGATGGTTTTGGGGTTTAGAGGTTTAGGGTTTAGGGTTTCTTTTGGGGGTTTAGGGTTTAAGGCTTTTTTCGAGGTTTAGGGTTTAAGGTTTTTTGGGGGGTTTAGGGTGAAAGATTTCAAGGGGGACGGCTGGAAAGAACGGGATGTCACGATTTGACCTTCAGCGCCCCTAGAACCAGAATGAAAACATGTCAATAAACCTTGGACCTTTGATATACATCAATTAAAACACAACATTAAGGAGCAAGCGCGGGACTGCGGAGTTGACATAAACCAGCGTAGCGCTGGACCAGCTCGTCAAGCCCCGGAAGTCTCCTGTCAACTCGCAACCGGAGCGTGGCGGAATGAAACTTTCGAGGGTTTAGGGGTGGTTTAGGGTTTAGGGGTTTAGGCGTTTTTGGTCTTGGGTCTAGGGTTTAGGTTTTAGGGGTTTAGGGTTTAGGGGTTCAGGGGTCTCAAGCTCGACACAACAAATGGGACACCCTACTGCTGGTCCTGCCCAGCGCCCTCGCCTTCTGTTCTTGGGTACTCGGAGGATCATGGGACCTAGTAAGTAAGGCTATAAGTGCCTTGATTGGGGTTATAAGTATAGTTACCCTAATCATAACCCTAGTTACTAAGTCCCATGATCCTTTAAGTAATTCTAAGCTGTAGTCCACTGCGGGAGCAAACGACACACGCCTTGGAGCAATGTCAGCCGCGATGAGCTCTCCTTGCTAGGGGAGCTGCAGGTTAATTAATCTTCGGGACAGAAGAAGGGGAGTATAATTTCAACCCTGAGCTCTAAACCCCAAACAGGTTAAAGGCTGCTTGCTCCACTACTGAGTCTCTTCATCGCGACGCTGAAGAGCCACGTGCAGTCTGGAAGCTGCTGCAGCACGAGGCCTCAGAAGCAGTCATCTCAAAACCACTGCGGAAGCTCTTGGAAAAGGGGATTTCCTTCAAAGAATCTCTAAGGGTCTTAGCTTCTCTAAGGAGAGCATAGGGGGACTGCTCTAGGGCCTTAGGGCTCCTTTACATTGTGGATTACGGGTTTAATGGCTTGATGCGGAAGATGCAGGAAATCTGCAAGCCAGGCACATGGAGAGTTCGATGCCAACTGCATGGGCGCGGCTCTGCAACACCACCTCTGATGCAAACGGGTCCAGGTTTTCTTTGAACCCTCGTGTCTTTTAGCCGTGATAACCGTGCGCCTCCAGACTACCATTCTGGTTGAGGGATTGGGTCTAGGGTTTCGGAACCAAGATCTCGGGTATAGGGTGACAAGGCTCTCAGGGCATGTCAGTACAGAGGACTCCGGGGAGAGAGAACAACGAAAACTATCTTTTTTTGAAGGGCTCAAATCGTGCGATTCTTCGGGATATATTCGGGCTGTTATAGTCGCACTCCCAAAACCCTGAAACTTCCAAAAACCGGATACTCCAAAATCCGAAAGTTCAAGAGCTGTGCGCTCCTGCGTTGAGACGCGGCCGCGACCGGACCCGAGGTCAACAAAGACATCGTCAGGCGAAAGAGGGGAAAACGATGCAAAGAAGTCCTGCCAGGTCGTTTGGCCTTGGGGCCAATAAGAGGAGGACCATGGGACTTGGTAAGTAAGGTTATAAGTACCTTAATTAGTTAGAGTATACCTTGCCTATTTAGGCTAATAATGCCACCGCCAACCCATTAGATGATCATTCCTAGGGTCCCCCCTACACTTCACCGATATATCACTACTACTTCCCCCATTAGATGATCATTCGTAGGGTCCCCCCCACACTTCACCGATATATCACTACTACTTCCCGATTATCAACACAATTCTAGGAATAACCATTACCCCATCTATATTTTCTAAGGTGGCATTATTAGCCTAAATAGACAACGGGGTCCTTGTAGAATTTGGTTCAGGGTTTGGGGTTAAGGGTGAAGCAATCGCTTTATCTTCTCGGATTCTCCGATCATGTTGTAACTACACCGTAATTATAATATATAACTGCTTATGTATTATACTTACATTGTAACTATGCTATTTGAGGAGACTATTTAATGTGAATTTTGAACTATCATCTCATCTAAGAACTCTGATGTTGCTTGTACATACTCATAATGTAATTGTTTGTCTATGTTTACACGATATTGTAAATAATATATGATTCTAATGAAAATATGATGAACTCTTTGATAATAATCAGCATAACCACATAAAACATCTTTGAAATAATTCATTTTCTCTTGATGCCATTGATAGAAGTCAAATGTATCTAGGTTCTCATACATTGTTTTCATTTCAATATGTAACTCAAGTGTATAATCTTTCTTTTGAACATCATCTCGCATTATTTCATGAACTTCATCATATTCTGGGGATTTGTTTAACTTAGTAAAGGGTAATATATAATCATCAAACAAATTTTTTAACTTACAACATTTATCACAACCGTAGTAATCTACGATCTGATTTTTAAAGCTATGTAAGACATCGCATTTGCCTAGTAATATTGTTTGTATGTTCTTAACTGGGTTACATTCATCGCATCTGTTGAAATAATTAAGTTTGTGTATCTGATTATACAAATATGTTTCATCATATTCACTCTCACTTTCATGTTCACTCTTACTCATTACCACGATAATATATAGGTTGTTATTTCTTTAAGTCATTTTCCTCAGAAATATTATTTTCTTAAGAATTACTGCATCGCGGTTTATTTGACAGATTTATCCAAGCATTCAGAACAAGTCATAGTGTATTTAACATAATAATAGGAATGCTTTCCAGCGCAATAGCAACGCTTAAAGCAGTCTATGTCTTTGACTTGCTTACAACGATAACACTTCCTAGTAACAACATTATTTGTTTCAGTATATGGATCAAAATCAACTAATATCTTATTTACTTGTACTGGCATTGTTAATATTATACGTTAGAATATTGTTATAAATACAACTATTTATAACAAGATTTTTACCTTAAGATTCAATGAAACTAATTACGAATTCATATCATTTCCACACTCTTATGGTGTGCTTATGAAACTGTTCATCACACGGGAGCAATGGGACCTGATTTTCTTCTAGATGTCTGGGCAGGGGGAACTATACACTGCCAATATACATGAGATTTTAATCCATAATATTTAAATTATTCTTTAAAATGCCCGGTCTGCCCGACTGGCTTCTCTAGCCACTTCTCATCTGTCAATAGCTTCTTGAGAGAAATGTGTAGACTGGCATTTTTCAAGGTGTTCTTGTTCAACGGGCGGATTCTGTGGCGACGATCCGTTGAAGAGCAGCACCACTGACATACCGCTTTTTGCTGGCAAGACGATGTAGCCAAATGATCTTCTCGGTTTTGCCGACCTTGGTTCTCCATGGTTGCGGCTCTGCCCAACTTGGTACCGTAACTTCGCCGTATGCTCCCTCGCTGGGTACCAGCTGAACCAACTGTTGCCAAGTTATCGGCTGCTCTTCCCGCGAGCGCAGGAATGCGTCCGGAAGGCTTGTAAAATCCGCCTTGTTTTTGGTGTAAAGAATGCAATCAACTTCACGCAGATTCATGCGATGTTGCCAAGCCTCCCATTTTGCAAACCACTCAATATTCTGTTTTGTAAACTTCCACTTTTTCGTGATTTTGCAACTCTTCCATGGCTGAGACAGGTCCTGCATGGAAGCGGAACCCTGGCAGCACCGACGGCACTCATGTCTCACATGCCAGTAGAAAGCTTGGTCACTGGTTCGCTCTGCCTCTTTCCCGGTCGTTGCATCCAACAGTGGACCGTGGCCTTCCACGTCCCAACGATGAACTTTGAAAACATGTTCCAGGACTCTGCAGACTTTCTTTTCAAAGCCATGTCCAGTCAGCACAGAATCGGAGTAATTGCTAAACACCTGCGTTTTTCGCTGCATGCTTGAACCAAAGAACCACTGCGAACGGGAAGCAGGTGCTGCAAACCTAGCTCTGCCGCTCGGAATGATTGGTCTTCTGAACACGGGAGCATTGACAACCCCATTCCGTCGCAAACGTCTGCAAAAGCATTGGGGTTTGCAACCCTTAACCCTAAACCCTGAACCAAATTCTACAAGGAACCCCCTTGCCTATTTTGGCTAATAATGCCACCTTAGAGATAATAGATGGGGTAATGGTTATTCCGAGAATTGTGTTGATAATCGGGAAGTAGTAGTGATATATCGGTGAAGTGTGGGGGGGACCCTACGAATGATCATCTAATGGGGGAAGTAGTAGTGATATATCGGTGAAGTGTAGGGGGGACCCTAGGAATGATCATCTGATGGGTTGGCGGTGGCATTATTAGCCTAAATAGGCAAGGTATACTCTAACTTAATTGGGGTTATTATACGTATAGTTACCCCAATTAAAAACCAGACCCATGACCCTTTGAGTTTTAGGGTGAGGGAAGCGCAGGGTTAGGGCCTTTCCTGGCCGAAAAGCAGAGGCTGTGTCTCAGGGTCAAGCCCATGCCCGGCAGTCCAGCATGGCCGCTACACCCTCAGCTTTCAGCTCACCGTAGGTTCCAGCATCGCCCAGCGCTTGCTCCCGTAAAGGCCACGGCTCATCAAGCTCGGACAGCAACTGAGCAACGGCAGTGACAGCGAAAGCCCAGGAAGCACAACTGCAGCAAGGAATCGAGTTCAACACTCTCGGAGCGGCACCGCTTGCAGGCGCTCGCTTTGCTGGACATCCTGCCGATGTGAAACCATTGCTGAGGTCGCAGGTCGGGTGATTACTACAGGCGCCTTAATTATTCGAATTAGGTTTTAGGGCCCTATTATACTGCAGTTATAAAATGGAACCCCGAAATAGTATAGGTAATTAATTATTAAGGCCCCTAGATTATTGTGGCTTGGTCGCCGTCAACATCCACGGTGCTAATCACCGGATCTCAGCTTCCCAAACAACAGAACGGAAGCCATACCGTAGCATCATAAGGGAGTTTCCGAAAATCAGGAGCACCTTTTTTGGGGTCCTGATTCCTGATAATAAGGATCCATTTGCGGGTAATTATTATACGAGGGTCCCCCATCTTCGGACACTCCCATAAAAGAGAGAGAGAGAGAGAGAGAGAGAGAGAGAGAGAGAGAGAACCGGTATGCGAGAAGCCAAGGGCCAGGTTCTGCTTCGCGGACACTGATGACAAGCTAAAGTAGACCGAAGAGCACGGAACGGAGAACTCCACGTACTATCTAAATCTAGTTTTATATTGTAGATTATGTACTGTATATATATATATATATATATATTTAAACATATTGTGTGTATATATATATATATAGATAGGTAGATAGGTAGAGAGCTGCCCTCTTCCCCTTGCTCGAATGTGCAAAAGAATGCTCCTGACTCGTTGCTTCTAAGTAGCTAACGTGCAAGATTTTCGGTGCTGAAGAGATCGTCGCACTCGCACATGATCTACATCTGATCATCTATTGCATGTATATATGTATATAGTTATTTATTCATTATACTGTATCAAGCTGCCCTCTTTACCCCTTGCTCTCTGGAATCCTGGCACTGCCCAGGAGTCAAAGCAAAGATGCCCAAAGCGCCAATGCGACCAATGCCGCGGGCCGGCATCGGCAGCAAACCGACTCATGTATTTTTGGCTCCTTCTTCTTCCGATGGTGTGTTACGACAATGCAGTCTTACTGCGGATCTTGAACTTTGATTTTTCAACGAGGGACTCTCTACTAAATCGTAGGATCCCGACGGGAAAGGACCCTTAGATGAGGGATCCCGAGTTTTTGGAAAAAGCCTTTGCACTCATTCACAATGTTACATGCTACTAGCTCTACTCAACCACATCTTTCAAAGCCGCGCAGTGCGAATTTAGGTGACCATGGGGCGGGGCTATCACAAGAAGCAGGGTCGGATGACATTGCTTGGAGGATCATGGGACTTAGTAAGTAAGGTTATAAGTACCTTATTTGGGGTTATAAGTATAGTTACCCTAAGTATAACCCTAGCTACTAAGTCCCATGATCCTTTAAGTGTGCAAGGACTGGACCGGATCAAAACATGCTTCACGAATCTGTTCCCACGCATGCGACGTCTTATTGGGCTGTGCAGTAGACGATCCAGTCAGCCGTTGATGCAATAAAATAGGGGCCCTAGTATAAGGTTTTGATGTATACTGTACTATGACCATAATAAGGAACCCCCACTATAGCATTTGTAACTATTGAGTCCCCTGTAGTAAGCTGCATGTTGCCTGATCGCCGACTGCACCTGGACAGCCCATCCTGCTCCTTTCAGAGCGCTTCTTGTGCCTGGCCTACAGCAGGAATCTGAGCGAGCTCAACCACCTTCAGACTTGGTGTTTGGTGTAAGAAAACTCTCAGACTCGCTGCTTCTACTACTGACCTACATTTACTACGAGCTACCAGCATCGTTGGCATGGCAACTTGATCTTAAACGCCTGAGAAACAGGCTTGCAGATCGGAACATGCAGAGGGAAATTTTCAGTAGCGCAGCATGAATACACGTCGAAACACACCTTCCAAGGTACAAGCTCCTTCTCAGAACGGTCTTATGGTTTAGGCTCTAACGTCCCCTTCCTTCCTAAGAAGTCCCTCCTCTACGTGCTCGTTATGATTTCCTTCCTGGCAGAGGGGAGCCTGATTCAAGGTCTGCGCCATTCACAAACGCTACACCAGTTCTTGGAGCTTCAAGCGTTATGGAAGTGACTCGAAGCAAAGAAGTTTAGTTCAGGGCTTTTGGCGGCTTTGGTTATGGGGGGGGGGTTAAGGATTTTAACGTTTATGACTTCAGGCGATTAGGGTTTAGGGCATCGTGTATGTGACATCTTGGAGTGTAGCTCTGGGCTGCGTGCCAAAAGCATTTGCTCGGCACTTACAGCGCAGTGCTTTCTGCTTTGGCTCCAGTGAAATAAATAGACTGATTTGTCGCTCCCGTCCGGCTACATTAACATATGTTCTGGTCTAAGCTGTCACAACTACATCATATTACATCATGCCATATGGGGACAGGAGGATGACTGGAGCGCAGAGCCCTTGAGGCTGCAGCTCGCTAAAGTCGCAGAACACCCGGTTGATGATCTCCTTGTACTTACCCTGAACCCTAAACCCTAAACCCCTAAATTCTTCAACACCCCAAGATACGCTCCGAATGAGGCTGCTTTCCTGTCCTTCAGTTGTGTCACTCCTGATACCACTGCACCCTACACCCTAAACCCGAACCCAACAACCCTAACCCGTAAACCCTGAACCTTAACCGACTGCAGGCATCCTTGTTGCCGGAAAATGTGAGACTTGCTGGTCACTTCAGGGAACCTGGACTCAACATACTCAGTGCAGGCCCGGACAGGAGACCCTGGGGTGTAGGTTTTTTTTTTGAGCCCTCTTTTCCAACTGCCCAGAGGTTAGTCGAAAGGCCGATCTGGCTGAGGGGTGGTTTGGAGAGCCTTGTGAGGGGATTACCACCATACCACCTCTTCCCCCTACTGTAGGGGTTTAGGGGTTAGGGTTTAGGCAGATTCTCGTGACACAGTCTGACATGCGGCATGTGCATGAAGAATGTTCGCCGGATGACTCGGCGGAAAGCCGCTTGATGAAGTTATGCGCCTGAAAAGGCGAGCCTTTGTGGGTTTAACTATGCCGGAAGAGCAAGGCGCAGTGAGACACTTCTCGATCTGTCCTGCGAAAATCATTAATATTACCATGGCGGATGGTATAATAGAGCTTTGTGATGTGCCAGATTACGCACTTGGGCTCCGGCACCGATTGGGCGCCTGGGTCTTGTTGGCATTCCGGCAGCGGGCAGGTGTAGGAGACCCAGCCTGTCCGGATGGATGTCAGCGCTCCAAAGGCCCAAAGCAACAGCCTGAAATTTCATAGAGTACTGCATCCCCAAGTCTGCAATGTAAGCTCTGGGTACTGCAAACCATGGAGGCCAGTGGACAAGAGGAGAGCAGAAGTCTGTCGCTGCTGTTGAACGAAGAGAGTCCATGTGCACATGCCGAACAACATGACCAGTGACTGCGTGTGTGTAGTTGCCAACACCCGCGCTGATGTGAGCCTCTCCGCGCGCTGCGATCGGAGGGGCTCCAACCTTCTGTGCCGCGCCTCCATAAGTCAAATTCTGACAACATGCCGCAAATGAAAGTACGCAGAACACAAACCGCAACCCGTAAACCCTGATTGCCACAGGCCAAGTATGTGCGCAGCAGGGCACGTCTCAGTCTGTGCCGATGTACACCACTTCAGCGCACCAACCGCAGCATGCCATCTACTATGCAACACCCATGCCATTTGCAAATCAGCGCCTTGGCCGGCGCAGTCTCCGCAAAATTGTCGTGCGCAGGTGCCTCAAGCAACTTGAGTCGCATGAAGGTGCCAAGCAACCACTTCGTGCAAAAAATGCTAGGAATCGGCCGCGTGAATCTCCTGAAACGATTACAGCACTGGGCTTCGCATGGACCCAACATTCGGGAGCGGCCGTGCTTCTTATGGGTAGGACACGGTTCGCCGGCGGAGAATCGGCGGAAATACAACTAATATCCACTATACTATAAATATGACCAGGAACCCCAAAAAACGTACTGGCAACTATTGAGGCCCCTATAGTAGAAACAACGAGTCGTATCATTCTCGATGAGAGCCCCCGATAAGCAAGCCGACCCTGAGACGAACTGGACCAGGGAACTCGGATCAAACAGGGTTCCATCCCCCTTACTTAAAGGATCATGGGACTTAGTAACTAGGGTTATAATTAGGGTAACTATACTTATAACCCCAATTCAGGTACTTATAACCTTACTTACTAAGTCCCATGATCCTCCAAGTATGGTTCCGATAATGACTGTGGAATACTTGGGTGGTTGTCGAAATTATGGTTCCTTGATGGGTCCCTATCATAATACGGCACCTATGATTTAGGGTACCCTAGGAGGGACCATACTCTTGATGACCACCCATTTGTATACAACACCCCTAAACCCACAATTTCGGAGTCTGCTGAAAAATCCGCTAGAATCCGGCAAAAGAAGCTGAGCGCTCGGCTGCCATTGACAAGCCCGACATCAGGGAGCTCTTGGGCACGGTCTCTGAGAGACCCAGCGGGGGCCTCTCGATGCTGGTCCGAGACTTTCAGATGATCGCAATGTTGATCCCCGCACCTAAACCCTGAACCCCTCAAAAGTTAAAAGAGAAGCCTCCCTGCACGAGGAATGTGACCCTCATTAACAAGGGGTCCCGATCTGATGGTCCTTTACCCCATGGAGAATAAACCCCGCCCCAATTAGGGATTTTGAAAAAAACCTATCATGATTAGGGGTCCTTTTGGGATGGCTCCTTAAGAAAAGAGGCGGGCTTATCAACCAGGGTTCACATCACAACTCACCCCACCCGGCTTTCGCGCTGCCTCTGCCTGGGTCGCGTCTCCGGGAGCAGCCGCGGAGGCTTGGAGCTGGGTCGTGCAGTTGGCGCAGCCCGGGGCCCGGCGTCTCCGTGGTCCAGGTGCATCACCACCTTAAAGGGCTCTCCTTAAAGGGATCTATAGGGTTATAGGATTCTGTTGGTGGTCGGGTTCTTGAACTGAATCTCTGGAGCGCAACTCTGAACCCTCTGCCATGTAGTGATCTTCGCTCAACAGTCGTGAACCATGGCAATCGAATTGAAGAAACGCCTTTTACACCGCACAACAAAGTTCGGTAAAGCTGTGACTTGCATATGCTTAGCATGCACTGTCTTACAGCATGACTTCGTTGACATATGCCGGAACATTCCTCTCTCTTTGGACCTACAGATCCACTAGAGGCCTCGGCACATGAAGCAGACAACTCAGAATTCAACACTCCTCCTTGATCAGAGGACGTCCGTCCTTTGATCACAAGTACAAAAGCTCAAGGGTCGTTGTGCGAGGCCGCTCCACAGCCTCAAATCGTCATGCAGTCCACATACACGCGAAGGTTCCACTTCTTTGTCTAAATGCTTCGTGAAGGTTGTAGGGATCGACTCCGTTTCGTGTACAGTGGAACATTCCGCTGACAGTACGCACAGTACTCGACAGCGTATACATCGCCAGAGTTCCTCAAACCATGGCAGTGCGGATTGGTGTGTAGCTTTGACCTTGATGACACCGTCTTGTAGAAACCTCCATCCGGAAACAGCTCAAACTCTGCTTCGACTGGTGGTGGAGGGGATGGCGCTCTTTCGATAATTCTCTTGGTAGACTTTGCCTTCCTTACAGCTTCTGGAGGTGGAGGTGGTGGTGGTAGAACATCTCCACTCGACCCCGGTTGATCATCTAGCAAATCGTCATCATGTTTGGCCTTCGTCAAGAAGGCACGATCCACCTCCTCCTCAGCTGCAGCCTTTGCAGCCTCACGAAGCTTGCGTAAGCGTCGTTGTTTTGGTGACTCGCTGAATAGATCCCGTATACAACGAACAATCCATTTCGTTGCTTCCCACACAGCCACTGCCGCGACACAGACCAAAATGGTTACCACAAGTAGTTCATCCATGCCAACTGACTGTAGGCGAACTCTTTCGTTCTCCGTCACTTCCGCTCTCACGGTCTGCACCATCATTGAAAGCATCAGCAGAGACAAATACACACCCTTTGCGGTCAGCGCTTTCAAACCCTCCCTTGGTAGGCCTCGAAAACCCCAAAGGGAAAGTAGTTCCCATAAGCGCATCTTTGGGTGCATCTTCGTAGCCAAGTCAGCAACCTGTAGTTCTCCTGCCACGTGTTCCGGGCACAGCTCACCAGCTTCTACCATATCCCGCAGCTTGGCACTTCTGACCTTCAAATGGCGCGTTCGCCACGAGCCTGGTCCGCCTTGTAGTAGCGCGAGGGCACTGGCATTATCAACCTTCAGAATACGTGTAGCCCTTTCTCCCAGAATTTCATCCAGCAAGCAACCCACATTTTCAAGAAGTACAACCGCATTCGTAGTCTCGTACAGCTCTGCTTCCATGACCGATAGGGTAACGAACGCCTGCCGTGAAGCTTTCCAGGAAATAATCGAGCCTTGATACATAACAGCACAAGCACCAAACGACCTTTCACCAAACGGCGCAAAACTGGCGTCAGAGTACGCGTAAAGGTATGCGCTGTTGTCTGTGTTGTGTACATCGTTCCTGCTGCTGCCGTGTATGCTGCTGTGGTTGGTTGTCCTGCTGCTGCCGCTGGTGCCAGTCTCCTCGCAGTTCACTCCCATCACAAGCTTCAGGGACTGAGTGGCCTTGAGATAGCACAGCAAGCGCTTGCCTATCTGAAGAACTCGATTTGGCTGCTTGCTGACCTTGGATGCCATCTGCATAACCGGAAATTGTAAATCAGGACGACAACGTAGGGTGAGCCACATATGTTCTCCAACAATCTTCTGGGCCGCCTTGAGTTCGGAACTTGAAAAGTTCTCCACTTCGTCCGGTTCATCATCGTTGATCCAGTCCTTTGGGCATTGCAGCTGCGTTTCCACAGCGTCGTCCATTCCATATCCTCGTAGTAGTTCTCGAATGTAGCCCGTTTGGGAAAGTTCGAAGGCTCCACTCGGCACCTGCTTGATTTCCATGCCAAGATAACGAGTCCCATGAACGCTGTCTGCCCATTCAAGCGGAGAGCAAGGCCACTCTTGTTGAACCCAATCATGGATAGCCTCGACCAGGGGGCGCTCAGCCAAGTAGAGCAAGTCATCCACATACGTGATCAACAGAGCCAGCAACGTCCCCTTGGATTTCAGGGTATTGCTCTCATCATAAGCAAGCCATAGCTCAGGATCTGCTGTTGACTGCTTCAATACAATCACCCGGCCCTTGTAGCTGATCCGAGCATCACGTAGCCGAGCTGTGCGCCATTTCGCCCATATCGAAGGCGACTCCCTTAGGCCATACAGAGGTCTGATTACCTCCCACGCATCCTGAGGATCCGCCAGACCAGCCTCCACCAAAATCCTTGGAGGGTAGATTGCATATCTTGCCAAATGCTCCGGCCACTCCGCCAGGAGAAAAGCTCCTGTAACATCTGAGGTTCCTCCAGACCATCTTCGGTTGGAAGCAAATGACAAAGACAGACGCACTGTGTCAGCCGAAACACCTCCGGCGTATAGCTCTCCAGACTCACAATCAGGTTGAACATGATTTCCGCATAGTACAAGTCTGAATTTGCGGCGCACCTTGCGCCCCTTTTCGGCGGGAGGCTTCAATGTGAAAACTCCTTTTGACGGCACCAAACGAAGAAGCCCTTGTTTTTCCAATGCCTTCGCTTGGGAGAGCGGTATAGGACGTAGTGTTCCACCAAGAAGCTGCTTGACCTCCTTTTCAAGGGCCTCCACCCATTGATCCAGGGCAGCTCTCACCTGTGGAAGTGGCACCGTATGCACTACTTCCAAGTCTCCATCCAGATCCCGAAGAAGTTGTTCATAATCGACCTCCTCAGTCACTTCAGCGGCCTTGAGAAACCTTTCATTCACTTCGTGCTCCTTGGTCGCCTGCTTGTCCGTCACCTCCTGGATCATATCTTCAATGGCGGCCGTTGCATTCTCAATCTCGTCTGTGACTGCCCTACCCGCCTGACGACACTCCTCTAGCAAAACATGCTCCTCCTCAAGCAGCAACCGAAGTCTATCTGAACGATCTTGTAAATCTTGAATCAAATGGTCTTGTTCTTCAGTCAGTGCCACCAAAGCATCATCAAGAGAACCGGCTTCCTCTGTGTCCAACGCCTGTATCGAGTAAAGCTCGGACTGGCCCTCATCACACTGCTGATTGTTGACAGGGTCAATCTCTGAGACCTGTGTCCCGTGCTCCTCAGTAGCCATGTGGTTCACGCTGGGGATCTCAATGTCATTCTGTGCCATGTGGTTCACGTTGGGGTTCTCAATGTCATTTTTTAACGGAAAACCCATGTACTCTAAGTCATCCTTGTCTTGATAATGTAGGTGGCTCGCACGAGGATTGTAGAGTACCATAACAACCCGGCTTCCTTCCCAAGGCTGTACTTCATGCCATCGCCGAGGATTGAAAACATAGGGCTGTCCCACCACTAGTTCATGGCATGCACCCTTCTTCCACAGCTTCTTGGACACCCGCTTCCAATCAGCCTCTGAGTGATGTAGCGATTCATCTTCAAGCCACAACTCACCACCCATCTCCGGCGCCTTCAACATGACCACCGTATTCATGCTGTCCGCCTCGTTGTGCGAATCCTTGTGACAACCCATGTTCTTGTTTTCAAGAATTCCCACGGCTGTGAAAGGGTTGTCTCCAGCAAACTTCTTCCCCGCCTCCACCAAATACTTCGTAGTCCACTTCATCCTTTTTGTATTCCCTCTGAGTCCAGCAACTCCACCATGCACGAACATCCCCGTAGTCCAAGAGATACCCTTTGTAGCGGCTCGGCCCCTCGCTTGCGTGACCTTGATCTCCCTCACAAGCTCAAACAGCTCCAAGATGGAGCCAACATCAAACTCCCCATTCTTCAGCATCTGCTTGGCCTTGATCTCTGCCCTTTCTTCTTGTACAGAAAGTGGGTGAACCTGAGACATAGCCAGTCGTCGCTTGCCTCGCAACCGCCGTTCGGGTACTGGTAGTTCAACTTCCCTTGGAACCAAATCCACCAAACCATCTGCGTCCACAAGCTGATCCTTCAAGTGTAGGCTCGTCACAAACGTCCCGTCGGGAAACCTGACACAATGTCCATGCTGCACGTCTGACGATGGCCCTACATAAAGGCCCTGACGCCACTTGTTTTCGACATCATATCGTCCGGCTCTCCCGTAGACCTTGGTACGAACGTGTACCGGGGCTTTCAAAGGACGGCAAGTTGCCAGCCTTGCCCAGAGCATCATGTCGCTGTTTGTTCACCGCATAGGACATAGCTAAAGGCCAGCACTCCGCTGGGAGCTTGGCCGCTGTCAGCAAGGTTCTGCAATGAGACTTCACATACTTCACACTAGCCTCGGCGCGACCGTTTTGTTGAGGCGTTTGCGCCTCCCCAGTAGTGCAGATCACGCCCCGCTCGTAGAACCAGTCACGTAGACGCTTGTTGCACAGCTCGGTAGCACGATCTGAGTGACATCTTACAACCTCCAAGCCCTCTGCCCTGATCTGAAGGTAAAGTTGTCTCATCTTCGAGTTGACTTCCGCAGACCTTCGAGACTCCATCGGCACAGCAAAACGCAAGACCTGGTAGTTCATGGTGTCCCCGATTTCGCCAACCAGCTCATTGTACTCTTGGTTGAGACGGTCCAGATCTGCTTGCTCATCAGGCCTTGCAGGCCCTGCTGGAACATCCTCCTCCTCAACGAACAACTCATCTAGATCTTCCCTTGGTAGCTCATCTGGATCTCCTGCGGGTTCTGGACCTCTGACTGGTAGTGGATCACCTGCGGGTTCTGGACCTCTGACTGGTAGTGGATCACCTGCGGGTTCTGGACCTCTGACTGGTAGTGGATCACGTGCGGGTTCTGGACCTCTGACTGGTAGCTCATCTGGATCACCTGTGGGTTCTGGACCTCTGACTGGTG